CGCCTCCTCCTCTGCGCATGCGCACTGCACCTCCACTAAAGCAGGCCGAGAGACGCAGACACCAGAGGAGAACCGGGACAAACCGGGAGACACCGGGACAAACCAGGACACACCGGGACAGACACTAAGACACGGAGACACACAGACCACCCGGAGAGACCAGGGACAGCGGCGGAGGAGCGGCGGGTCCGCAGCCCGGAGCCTGAACGCGACACACGGTAAGACAAAGCACCGGGGGGTCTGTGTCCTCTGAGGGGAGACACCGTGTCCTGCAGCTGGAGACAGACAGACAGGGAGCGCACAGACAGGGAGAGAGAGACACACAGAGAGACAGACAGACAGACAGCTGTGGCCTGGGTGATGGAAACACTGACAACACTGTGTGTCCCTGAACGCATCATCCGGGGCCAAAATCCATCACAACATCTGGAGAGGACAGACAGAGGACATATACAGACATATAGAGGACATATACAGACATATAGAGGACATATACAGACATATAGAGGACACATATAGAGATATAGAGATATGTGGGGATATTTAGAGACGTATAGAGACAGTAAGAGGACATATAGAGACAGTAAGAGGACATATAGAGACATTAAGCGGACATATAGAGACATAAAAAGACATTAAGAGGACATATATAGACATTAAGAAGACATATAGAGACAGTAAAAGGACATATAGAGACATTAAGAGGACATAAAAAGACATTAAGAGGACATATAGAGACATTAAGAGGACATAAAAAGACATTAAGAGGACATATAGAGACATTAAGAGGACACATATAGACATTAAGAGGACATCAAAAGACATTAAGAGGACATATAGAGACATTAAGAGGACATATAGAGACATTAAGAGGACACATATAGACATTAAGAGGACATCAAAATACATTAAGAGGACATATAGAGACATTAAGAGGACATAAAAAGACATTGAGAGGACATATAGAGACATTACGAGGACAGGTAGAGGTATTTAGAGATAATTAGAGACCTAGAGAGACATTACAAGGACATACAGAGACATATAGAGACAGTAAGAGGACATATAGAGTTATATAGAGACATATAGAGACATTAAGAGATAATTAGAGACATTAAGAGGACATATAGAGGACATATAGAGGACATATACAGGTGATTACAGGAGCTGGTTGGTGTCCTCTCTGAAGCAGAGTCTCTGTCTCAGTATGTAACAGTGAGAGGACAGCATGATGTCCTGGCCGTGGATCCGCGTCCCCCTGGTCCTGGTGCTGGTGCTGTCCGTCCCCCAGGTGTCCTCAGGACGCGGGGACAGGACCCTCGTCTTAGAAGAACTTGTTGGAGCGGTAGTGAACGCCTCGGTGCTGGACGGACGAGGACATGCTGTCCAGACGATGAGCAGCGAGGACGGGACGTATGGACAGAACTCTCCCAAAGTGGACACCAGGGGGGTGGTGCTGTCCCCGTCCCCCGTACACGGAGGTAACAATAATAACAACAACAATAACAACAACAATAACAACAACAACAATAATAACACCTGAGGCCTGTACTACAAAGCCGGATTTTCGCTTAGCCGGCTGACTTCAGGGAAAACTCTGGCTTTCCGGTCCTACGACGCTGGTTCTCTTTTTAGCGGGCTAGATCTCCATGGTAACTTATGCTGAGCGGCTAACCTCCTCGGGAGGAGGCTAGGTTCCAGGCTAAGAGATCAACTCAGTGAAAGCACCGCCTGCTGACCAATCAGAGCTCCGTGTGCGGAGTTTAAAGGGCCCATGTCATGGCCATTTCCACTGATCATAATTCCATTGTTGAGGTATACTAAAATAGATTTATACTGTGCAATTTTCCAAACTCACATTGGTTTCGCATATAAATGTAAAGTATGTGTATTCAGCAGTATTCACTCTCTCCACTAAATGGCTCGTTGGAGCTCTTGCCCCCCCCCTCCCTGTGAGCCTAGTGTGCTCCGATTGGTCAGCTCGGCCACTCTGTTCTGATTAGTCAACCACCAGAGAGGCTCCGCCCATGTCTAACAGTGCTTTTTTCGGCTCGCTCTCGGAACAACAGTCTTATAATGGCGTCGGTACAGCCGTATATATTTTATACGGTAACTAACCGAACTGTACCTACAACCAGAGGTGTGGACTCGAGTCACATGACTTGGACTCGAGTCAGACTCGAGTTACCAATTTGATGACTTTGGACTCGACTTGACAACATCACAAAAGACTTGCGACTCGACTTGGACTTGAACACCAATGACTCGGGACTTGACTTGGACTTGAGCCTTCTGACTTGAGGTGACTTGATAATTTAATTCAGGGGTCTCCAACACGCCGATCGCGAGCTGCCGTTAGGAGAGCAGAATCTTCAGCCGCTGCAACTCTTGCTGAGAATCCATGCAGGCAGGGGCGGGACTTTATTTTGCTGAGCCACCATGCGGCCAATCATATGTGAGGACACACTAGGATCATACCATTATGTGAAAGAAGGGTGGGGGGCAGACGCTCCAAAGACAGCACGTGTAGTGGTACAGGCCAGCTACAGAGCCACGGGGAGACGGGGAGCCGGATTTAAATGCAAGAGCGTCGGAAAAAGTCAAGAAATTTGCGAAAACCGAAAAAAGAAGCAGCATCTGGCTGCATTTCAATGATATTGGAGAAAGCAAAGCTGAGTGCAGGATTTGTAAAATGAAAATAACCTTCAGAGCAGGGTTTTTTTTTGGTAACCACTCAGGATTTATTGCCAGAGGTGGGAGAAGTTCAGATCTTGTACTTGAGTAAAAGTACCTGAGTGTAGGAATACTCGGTTACAATAAAAGATCCTGCATTCAAAATGTTACAAGTAAAAGTATAAAAGTATTAGCATCAAAATATAGTGAAAGTACCACCTGCAGAGGGATCTAGATTCAGGTGTTCTTTTCCCCATAGAGACCGCCTCGCAGCACATTATCCCTTGCATAAAGATAGATTGTGGGTCCCTTATAACATGCTGTACACAGTGGAAATAAACATTCTGGTCACCTCAACATCAGGGATCTTATACATTAAACTCCTTCTGAATCAAACCGTCACGGTAGCCTTACCTTACTGATCCCTCTTACAATAGAAGACAAACACGTTACTTTACCAGCAGAGAGAAAATGGATTATTAAATTATTAATGTGACTAATAAAGAGCAGTTTGATTATTAAGTATTATTCTGTTGATCGATGTCATTACATTTGTTGAAAAGCACATAATGACTTGTTTAAGACTCGTTTTGTCAAAGTTTAGGACTTGGACTTGACTTGAACTTTCCCATCCTGACTTGAGACTTGACTCGGACTTGAGCGCAAAGACTTGAGACTTGACTCGGACTTGCAAAACAATGACTTGGTCCCACCTCTGCCTACAACTGTTGTTATAGAAGAGTAAGTTATTTTTACCTGTAATAAACTACTACTGTTTGATGAGAAATCAAATCATGGTTTGCTATATATGAATGATATGTTATAGGAGCAAATAATTTAGGAAAGAAAGGATAGGCCTACTAAGTATTTCATCAAACTTTATTTTTAGAAATGTACAAAATGAACATAAATATACATATATACACGGTGTACCATCCATTCCTCCCCGTTGTCGGCATCTTGCCTATTGCAGCCGGGGCTTTTTAGGACGATGCATCAGTGTGGTAGTCCCGTCCCCGTCATGTATTTTCCGGCAGGATCTGGCTGGACGAAATCAAATGCAAATCACAAAATATTAGAGAAACTTAGTTGTTTTAGATTCGTTAGTAGTAGTTGTGGTAGGAGTGTGGATCTATCTAATCCATCTATCTAATCAACACCGTAAGCTTGCCAGCTAATATGCTAACCTAGCTTTCTTGTTTACCTTGGTAGCAAACACGATATGAACGTTAGCTCGGAGGAACGGCAACTATAATGGAGTGTAATAAAACTACTATGAACAAAAGCTAGTGGTTCATATTAGGCTAGCAATAACGTGTTTATAATTGCAATCTTATACGGGTAGTCTGCTACGTTCGGTCATTCATTGTAACTGGCATGAATACATTGTTTTGCGCTAGCATGTATAGCTAGCCTCATGCAGTATGTACATGTACTGTCACAATGTACGGTAAATCACCCGGAGTATACTGTATGAGTATTCCGTGTGTGACTGCAGACATTCTCCTGCCATGACAAACATGTAAGGCCATCTGCTGACATTGTAGTTGACATATTTAAACGCTAGCAACGTCGTTAGCCCAGTAAGCTGGGCTTGTTTAGTGTAATAAAACCACTATGAACAAAAGCTAGTGATTCATATTAGGCTAGCAAGGACGTGTTTACAATTGCAATCTTATACGGGTAGTCTGCTACGTTCATTGTAGCTGGCATAAGAAAAATGTTTTCCCGAACAAACCCATGTCTAGCTCCGTTGGTTAGCTCGGTAGCATACACGCTACGCCAGCTATAATGTAATTACGTTTCGCGACTGACCGTACGGCAAATTCTCCTGCTATGAGATACATATATGCAAGGCCATCTGCTGATATTAGATTTGATATATGGAAACGCTAGCAACTTAGTTAGTACAGTTAGCACTGTGTCAATGGCTTAGCAGTCCGACACAGTTTACACATTTAAACAGTCTTGTTGATGACTTGATAAATACACAAATAACAATGCAAACTTACAGGTTGTGTACCCGAATCTTCCCCTGCTCCAAACGGTCCAAACAAACTAGGAATAGCATCGTCCTTCAGTTTCAAATGCTGTGCATATCCGGCCTCAAACTGGGCAATGTTTTGGAAGCTTTCGTCTGTGAAATGCCGTGCACACAGTAACTGTCTTCGAACCTCTGAAGGAACAGTGTTAAAAAGAAATTTCAACCACTGACTTCATCGTGGTTCTTCCGTCGGTAGGACAAACAGCTCAGATTTCTCCTCACATTTCAGGAAACAGGTCCTTGGCATTGGCATGACTGGATCGATTGTGAACTGAACCAGAGCTTCCAACAGTAAATGTTAGGCTGGCAGAGGGTGCGGCCAGCGCCGCTGGGTGTGGCCATAGCTCTTCCGGATTGGTCCATTTAGTTCCGGGTACCGCATGATGTCATGCGGTACCCGGAACGAAATGGAAGACTCAAATGGGCAGTGACGTATCTCCAACGAGGCGTTTTGGGGAGGTATTTTCTGTGTTAGAGTTTTACTCGCTACAGGGTGTACTTTGAGGGTTTTGACTCTGCACACCGTTTACATGCATAAAAACCTTCATAACACACAAGGGGACGGGTAATAACCGGAAAAGCATGACATGGGCCCTTTAAAGCGATCAAGTCATATTACAGGATAGAGGAAATACAGAAAAACTGCCGTTGCAGGAAAGACGGCCGGCAAAAATCAACTGACTGTGTGAACGTGAAAATGAATAGAATATCCCCTCCTATCTTCAGAGCAATCTGACTATTATAATATTAGCGTTAAGAAAGCTTACTTAAATATCTGCCACGACATAAGTAACCGGATCAGAGTAACATTACGTACAGTCCGCGGCACTGTGAGTGCAGACGTCGATGTGTCCCATTATCATTCATATCATATCACATCATAATGTATCATATATTTCCTTATCTGAGTCAGCTGAGCCGTATCTGGCCGTGCAACACTCACAGTGTCACATACTGTATGCAGAAGTATTATTTTAAGCAACACATTAAGTTGACGAAACACTTGAGTCAAATGTAATTAAAGTCAGATCCACTCGTGTCTTGGACGGGGCAGTGATATCATAAACCTGTTAATGTACGCATTCAAACACATTTTCTTTTACCAGCTGTATTCACCTTGCAGGTGCAGCTATGTGGCTTTGATCCTGGATAAAGTGTTTAAGTCATGGATGTTTAAAGTTTAACTTCTTCATATTTGACTAATATTAAAGTTCACTTTTCATTCAGGAAGTATGACGCTGCGCTGTCAGTACGCTTGTCCATGTTTGAGATTGGTCGAATGCTCCAAATACCCCCCCTTTCATGTGAACGCGCACCTAACTAGATAGGACACGGCTGGCTTGAGCGATCCACTTGATAACCAGCGTCGTAGGACCGTTTACTACGAAGCTCAAGTTTTATTTATAAAGCACATTTAAAAGCGATTTTTGGTCGAGCCAAAGTGCTGTACATGTAATAAAAACACATTACTACAATCACAATAAAAGACAATAAATTACAACAGATATATATAAAAAATAAAAATAAAACACAAGGAAAAGTCAGGAGTCGTGCTCCGCTCTAACTAGAAGGCCAGAGAGAAGAAGTGTGTTTTTAGTGTAGATTTAAAAACCCCTAGGGTCTGACGGCCGACCTCACATGGAGGGGCAGAGTGTTCCAGAGCCTAGGGCCAGCTGCTGCGAAGGCTCGGTGCCCTCGGGTTTTAAGCCTGGTCTTGGGCACTACCAGCAGCAGCTGGTCAGCAGACCTTAAAGCTCTGGCTGGGGTGTAGCGCTGGAGGAGTTCAGCTATATAGGCCGGAGCCAGCCTATTTAGTGCTTTAAAAACAAATAAAAGGATTTTAAAATCAATTCTGAACCGAACTGGAAGCCAGTGCAGTGAGGCCAGAATTGGGGTGATGTGGTCACGCTTTTTGTGGCCAGTCAGCAAACGTGCAGCTGCGTTTTGGACTAGCTGCAGGCGTTTAATTGAGGCCTGGTCCATACCCACATACAGTGCGTTGCAATAGTCCAGTCTTGAGGTAACAAAGGCGTTAATAACCCTTTCTAAGTCATTAAAAAATAAATACTATTGGCCAATAGTCTTATTTAAAAAAAGCAGGATTTGACTACGGTGCTGACCTGCTTGTCGAATTTAAAAGTGCTAGTGAAGGTCACTCCAAGGTTCATGACCGAGGGGAGGATGTTTTTTTTGAGAGAGCCCAGAATATCAACCGGAGAGGCTGGAGGTTGGGGTCCAAAAAAGATGACCTCAGTCTTGCTCTCGTTGAGGTTGAGAAAGTATTTATTTATAAAATAAATATAAATAAAACTTGAAGCTGGTTCAACCTAACCTGGATATGTTTGAGTTAGCCGGTTGGCCTAATCCAAAACATACGCGCTCTCGCTAAACTGTCCTACGATGCTGGTTATCAACTCGTTAACTAAAGCCAGCCGTGTCCTATCTAGTTAGGTGCGCGTTCACATGAAAGGGGTGGTATTTGGAGCATTCGACCAATCACAAACATGGACAAGCGTACTGACAGCGCAGCGCGACATACTTCCTGAATCAAAAGTGAACTTTAATATTAGTCAAATATGAAGAAGTTAAACTTTAAACATCCATGACTTAAACACTTTATCCAGGATAAAAGCCACATAGCAGCACCTGCAAGGTGAATACAGCTGGTAACAGAAAAAGTGTTTGAATGCATACATTAACAGGTTTATGATATCACTGCCCCGTCCAAGACACGATCTGACTTTAATTACATTTGACTCGAGTGTTTCGTCAACTTAATGTGTTGCTTAAAATAATACTTCTGCATACAGTATGTGACACTGTGAGTGTTGCACAGCCAGATACGGCTCAAGAAGCTGACTCAGATAAGGAAATATATGATACATTATGATGTGATATGATATGAATGATAATGGGACACGTCGACGTCTGCACTCACAGTGCCGCGGACTGTACTTAATGTTACTCTGATCCGGTTACTTATGTTGTGGCAGATATTTAAGTAAGCTTTCTTAACGCTAATGTTATAATAGTCAGATTGCTCTGAAGATGGGAGGGGATATTCTATTAATGTTCACGTTCACACAGTCGGGGATTTTTGCTGGCCGTCTTTCCTGCAACGGCAGTTTTTCTGTATTTCCTCTATCCTGTAATATGACTTGATAGCTTTAAACTCCGCACACGGAGCTCTGATTGGTCAGCAGGCGGTGCTTTCACTGAGTTGATCTCTTAGCCTGCAACCTAACCTCCTCTAGCCGCTCAGCATAAGTTACCATGGAGATCTAGCCCGTTAAAAAGAGAACCAGCGTCGTAGGACCGGAAAGCCCGAGTTTTCCCTGAAGTTAGCCGGCTAAGCGAAAATCCGGCTTCGTAGTACAGGCCTCTGGGGGGTGGTGCTGTCCCCGTCCCCCGTACACAGAGGTAGACAAAATAATAACAACAACAACAAGAATATTAACAACAATAATAACATCAATAGCTCACGTTTATTTACATTATTAAATTATTATACCTTTTTAATAATTTTTTTAATCATTATACTTGCTTTTTTATATATATATAAACTGTTGATATATACGAATATATATACATATACAGTGTATATATATATAGACTGTTATATATATACAGTATTATATGCAGTAATATGAAATAGTTTATATGATAAAGTGTGTGTGTGTGTGTGTGTGTGTGTGTGTGTGTGTGTGTGTGTGTGTGTGTGTGTGTGTGTGTGTGTGTGTGTGTGTGTGTGTGTGTGTGTGTGTGTGTGTGTGTGTGTGTGTGTGTGTGTGTGTGTGTGTGTGTGTGTGTGTGTGTGTCCTCAGTGGTGGACCGGCAGGGCTGCGACCCGGCGACCCGCTTCCTGCCGCCCCCCCGCAGCGTCCACTGGGTGGCGCTGCTGCAGAGAGGGAACTGCACCTTCAGGGAGAAGATCCTGAAGGCAGCTGCATACAACGCTACAGCTGTACTCATCTACAACAACTCTACTGACGACACCGTGAAGATGGGCCACGAAGGTACACACACACACACACACACACACACACACACACACACACACACACGTTGAGGATCAATGTCAGCTCTAAATATAGATGGAACGAGTCATTCATTTATGAGGTCACTGTGACCTCACACTGTGTGTGTGTGTGTATGTGTGTGGTGTGTGTGTGTGTGTGTGTGTGTGTGTGTGTGTGTGTCAGTGTGTGTGTGTGTGTGTGTCAGTATGTGTGTGTGTGTGTGTGTGTGTGTCAGTGTCAGTGTCAGTGTGTGTGTGTCAGTGTGTGTGTGTGTGTGTGTGTGTGTCTGTGTCTGTGTGTGTGTGTGTGTGTGTGTGTGTGTGTGTGTGTGTGTGTGTGTGTGTGTGTGTGTGTGTGTGTGTGTGTGTGTGTGTGTGTGTGTGTGTGTGTGTGTGTGTGTGTGTGTGTGTGTGTGTGTGTGTGTGTGTGTGTGTGGTGTGTGTGTGTGTAATATAATTATATAAAACAGGAAAGTCTTCTTTATTGAAATAAGAAAAACATGTTTTTGTCTTCATCCATAGTGGGGCCTGATGCACCATGGGAACTGTAGTTTGCAAAGGCATGGGGCTGGAGAATGGGGTCAGATGATGTAGATCAGGGGTGTTTCTCAATGTCGAGTACGCTTGCTTGGTAGCACATGTCTGCCGAGCATCTTGCTTCAGAAGCGAGGCAAGAATACTTCATGGCATTCGGAAAACAAAGAGTGGAACAGGCTAACAAGTGTGCAGGTGTGCGTCATATGAGAGGCCCCGCCTTACATTTTCCACCACAGATTTGGGGAAATTGGTCCGTGCGCAAAGCATTGTGGGGATTTTAAGACCGCGGAGTCTACACATGTGCAGCCTTAAAATGTGTCGCTACGAAGTACGCCGGGCTCGATAGAATTCCAAGTATGCTGGAGATTGGAACAGTCCTTCGGCGGCACTCGATGACCTAGTATGCTTGAAATAGTGGCTCTGAAGCAGCTTTACTCGACATTGATAAACACCCCAGGTCTGGGTTCCTATTGGTTAGATGATGTGGATCAGGTCTGGGCTCCTATTGGTCAGATGATGTGGATCAGGTCTCTGTCATCAGTTCCATCGGTCCTCCTGTTAGCTACACTCAGACATTAAACTGCTAGTTAGCCGTTAGCTGTTAGCCGTTAGCGATTAGCTGTTAGCTATTAGCTGTTAGCTATTTGCTGTTAGCTGTTAGCTATTAGCTGTTAGCTGCTGTTGGAGCAAGGATCCATTGAGTTGCATCATGATGCGTTGGTCCTGGTTCTGGTCCTGATCCTGGTTCTTTATTTATTTTCAGGTACCGGGGACACGGTGGCAGTGATGATCACAGAGGGCTACGGGAAGGAGCTCCAGGCCCACCTGGAGAGGAACCTCACGGTTCTGGTCTCGGTGTTCGTGGGTCAGCGCGGTCCGACTAAGAACATCAACAGAGGCTCTCTGGTGTTCGTCTCCATCTCCTTCATCGTGCTGATGATCATATCCTCTGCCTGGCTCATCTTCTACTTCATCCAGAAGATACGCTACACCAGCGCACGGGACCGCAGCCAGGTGAGGCTAGCACAGAGCTAACACAGAGCTAACACACAACTAACACACAGCTAACATAGCTAACACACAGCTAACAGAGCTAACACGGAACTAACACATAGCTAAAACATATCTAACACACAGAGCTTACACACAGCTAACACACAGCTAACAGAGCTAACACGGAGCTAACACATAGCTAAAACATATCTAACACACAGAGCTTACACACAGCTAACACAGAGCTAACACACAGCTAACAGAGCTAACACATAGCTAAAACATAGCTAACACACAGAGCTTACACACAGCTAACACAGAGCTAACACACAGCTAACAGAGCTAACACATAGGTAACAGAGCTAACACACAGAGCTTACACACAGCTAACACAGAGCTAACAGAGCTAACACACAGCTAATAGAGCTAACACACAGCTAACATAGCTAACACATAGCTAAAACATAGCTAACACACAGAGCGTACACACAGCTAACACAGAGCTAACAGAGCTAACACACAGCTAACAGAGCTAACACGGAGCTAGCACAGAGCTAACACACAGCTAACACACAGCTAACAGAGCTAACACACAGCTAACATAGCTAACACATAGCTAAAACATAGCTAACACACAGAGCTTACACACAGCTAACACAGAGCTAACATGCTAACAAACTTAACACAGAGCTAACCGAGAGATAACTGTTATCTCTCTGTTAGCTCTGTGTTAAGTTTGTTAGCATGTTATCATAACATGCTAACAGGCTAACACAGAGCTAACAGGCTAACACAGAGCTAACATGTTATTAGGCTCAGATGAGGGCTCAGTATGATGTTTACAGTCCTATATATATACCCTGCAGTAATAGTACTCTGTGTATATATATACCCTGCAGTAATAGTACTCACTCTGTGTATATATACCCTGCAGTAATAGTACTCACTCTGTATATATATACCCTGCAGTAATAGTACTCTGTGTATATATACCCTGCAGTAATAGTACTCTGTGTATATATACCCTGCAGTAATAGTACTCTGTGTATATATACCCTGCAGTAATAGTACTCTGTATATATATACCCTGCAGTAATAGTACTCTGTATATATATACCCTGCAGTAATAGTACTCACTCTGTATATATATATACCCTGCAGTAATAGTACTCTGTGTATATATACCCTGCAGTAATAGCACTCTGTATATATATATACCCTGCAGTAATAGTACTCTGTATATATATATACCCTGCAGTAATAGTACTCTGTATATATATATATACCCTGCAGTAATAGTACTCTGTGTATATGTACCCTGCAGTAATAGCACTCTGTATATATATATACCCTGCAGTAATAGTACTCTGTATATATATATACCCTGCAGTAATAGTACTCTGTGTATATATACCCTGCAGTAATAGTACTCTGTGTATATATACCCTGCAGTAATAGTACTCTGTGTATATATACCCTGCAGTAATAGTACTCTGTATATATATACCCTGCAGTAATAGTACTCTGTATATATATACCCTGCAGTAATAGTACTCTGTGTATATATACCCTGCAGTAATAGTACTCTGTATATATATATACCCTGCAGTAATAGTACTCACTCTGTATCAGAGATGGAGTACTCGAGTCCTCGTGTACTCGTGACTCGACTCGGACTCGCGCACTGATTGACGCGACTCGGACTTGGACTCCTGAATTCTCGCGCACGATGACTTGGACTCGGACTCGTGAATTATCGCGTACGATGCTTGGACTCTGACTCGGACTCGTGAATTATCGCGTACGATGCTTGGACTCTGACTCGGACTCGTGAATTATCGCGTACGATGACTTGGATTCGGACTCGGACTCCTGAATTCTCGCGCACGATGACTTGGACTCGGACTCGGACTCGTGAATTATCGCGTACGCTGACTTGGACTCGGACTCGGACTCGTGAATTTTTCCCCCCACGATGACTCGGACTCGACTTGTACATTGACGCTCCGACTTGGACTCGGACTTGGACTCGAGCAAGTTTTCTATGGAGTCTGATCTATCCTGGCGTGTGCACCGGCTGCGAGGCGAGTTCACGTACTGGGCCCCGCTATTCCAGTCTAAAGATGTCTAGAGACACACTCCGCATCGTGCTGTATGCTTTCACACATTCTGCTTCCACATTGGAAAAGAGCAGCGCAAAATGCTCTATGTGGAAACAATATTGAAGAGAAGGCTCCGTAACACATTACTCTAAGGATCGAGTTCAGACATATAGGCTGTCTTGAACACTATCATCAGAGTAACGTGATCTAATCAATAAATAAAGATTCAGCCGATAACACGAAAACACATGGCTACTTAGCATGCAGAATGAGTCATTTTGCATGCTAAGTAGCCATGTGCTTTCTGGGGCTAAATCTTTATCAGTAAACCGATTTAACCGGTAAAAGTTCCTTCAAAATAAGAGTCCCGATCTTATTACTATCAAAATAAAAGTGCAAAATGAAAACTTTACCATAGGAAAATATTGGCATACAAATATAATCACTTCTCTAAAAGGTAACTCATTTTAAACATAGTTTATTTATATATAATAATAATAATATTTATATTAGTAATAAGCTTTATATTTGTATAGCACCAATTACAAGAATTGTAGCCAAACTGGCTTCACAGCAGTTCAATAGACAGATTAGTATAACACAGTGTTGTAGTCAAGTCACCAATTCACGAGTCCAAGTCACTCTCGAGTCACCACTCTTCGAGTCCGAGTCCAAGTCCGAGTCACCAAGGGAGAGTCGTAGTCGAGTCCGAGTCCAAGTCCGAGTCACCCAAGGAGTGTCCGAGTCGAGTCCGAGTCCGAGTCATCATTACCTGTGTTCGAGTCCGAGTCCAAGTCCGAGTCACCCAAGGAGTGTCCGAGTCGAGTCCGAGTCATCATTACCTGTGTTCGAGTCCGAGTCCAAGTCCGAGTCACCTAAGAAGAGTCCAAGTCAAGTCCGAGTCACAAGTCTTCATGTATTAATCTTCGTGGATATATGTGTTGAAATGTAACTGCTCCTCTACATTGCTTTTATCCTGTCATGTTATACTAATCTGTCTATTGAACTGCTGTAAAGCGAGTTTGGCTACAATTCTTGTAATAGGTGCTATACAAATATAAAGCTTATTACTAATATTAATATTATTATTATTATTATATATAAATAAACTATGTTTAAAATGAGTTACCTTTTAGAGAAGTGATTATATTTGTATGCCAATATTTTCCTATGGTAAAGTTTTCGTTTTGCACTTTTATTTTGAAAGTAATAAGATCGGGACTCTTATTTTGAAGGAACTTTTACCGGTTAAATCGGTTTACTGATAAAGATTTAGCCCCAGAAAGCACATGGCTACTTAGCATGCAAAATGACGTCATTCTGCATGTTAAGTAGCCGTGTGCTTTCATGTTATCGGCTGAATCTTTATGGTGTAGTGATCACTGATTCATACACTGGGGTTACATAATTCAATCCGGGAACTACAGGTTGGGGGTATTGTTTCCGCCCGGACATATATGTTGACGGTACCTCCGGGGTACCTACAGTGTGTGTCCCTTTCACTTTCTCTTCTCCTCTTTCCTGCAACCCGACAGCACGTCGATTTCTGCTCTCCAATAAAGAGAGATTTGCAACTCTGATACACCGCCTCCGTCTCCCTTCTCTCGGCACTACAGTGGTGACCCTGACATAAGTCTCGCGAAGGGTCCGGGACTGGACCGAACACGGCAAATAGCAGACTCTGCTTTTCTCGAAATGCCGGAGATTTTTGGGGACCTCCGTTGCTGCCACGTGCGCACGGACTGAGGCTCGGTGCGCCCCACGGAATGGACGCGGACGACGCTCGCCATTTTCACGGCTTTTCGGCTCTGGGGGACGGCAAGCCTTCCATGGGGCCGGTACGCGACCGTGCCGGGTTGGTTCGGGACGTGCGGCTGCATGTCCGGCCAGCGACTGACGGCCGCCGAGAACGGCTAGCGACGACTGCTAGCATCAGCTAACGCCTTGCAGCTACCGGCGGCTATCGACAACCGACTGTTTTTTTTAATTTATTTTTAATTTTTTTGTGGTGCCGGAGAGGGGGTTCGATCATGTCTGGTCGGCCTCGCGTGGATCCTCTCGCTATTTCGCCCACCTGTTTTTGTTCGTGGACAGGACGACCTTTTGAGCTTTTTCTGGTGCCGGAGAGGAGGTTCGACCATGGCTGGTCGGCCTCGTGTGGACCCTCTCGCTGTTTCACCACCTCGACGGCGGCTTCGGACGTCACACAGTGGCGCGCTTCTGGACCCCGTCTCGCCTCTTCCCTCGCCTCGGCGGTTCCGGACGTCGCCCATGCCTTCGTCGGCCCGTGGGTGGCGCGCTTCGGGACCCTGCCTGGCCTCACCTCTAACCGCGGCTCACGGTTCGCCTCGACGGCGCCCCGTCTGGCTTCTCCCCTGTCCACGGCTCCTTCCTCCCGGGGACACGGCTCCTTCCTCCCGAGGACTTCGTGCCCGCCGCCGCTGTGCCTTCGCCTGCGGCCGGGCAGCGCTCCTCCCTGCTGGGGACCACCGGGTTTTTCACGCCCGTCCCCTGGTCTCGACACAGCGACCCTGCTTTCTGCGGCCCCCTGACGACGGCCCGTTCCGGCCCGCCACCCGCCCTCCGGTGGGGATGCCCTCGCCTTCGTTGGGGCCCCTACCCTCTCCTGCGGCCCCCTTCCGACGGCCCGTTCCATGGCCCGCCCTCCTCGGCCTCTGTGGTGCTTCCGAGGATTGTGTCCATGGTTGAATTCTTGGGGGGGCTTGTGTAGTGATCACTGATTCATACACTGGGGTTACATAATTCAATCCGGGAACTACAGGTTGGGGGTATTGTTTCCGCCCGGACATATATGTTGACGGTACCTCCGGGGTACCTACAGTGTGTGTCCCTTTCACTTTCTCTTCTCCTCTTTCCTGCAACCCGACAGCACGTCGATTTCTGCTCTCCAATAAAGAGAGATTTGCAACTCTGATACACCGCCTCCGTCTCCCTTCTCTCGGCACTACAATGTATTGATTAGATCACGTTACTCTGATGATAGTGTTCAAGACAGCCTATATGTCTGAACTCGATGTTTAGAGTAATGTGTTACGGAGCCTTCTCTTCGATATTCTTTCCACATAGAGCATTTTGCGCTGCTCTTTTCCAATGTGGAAGCAGAATGTGTGAAAGCATACAGCACGATGCGGGGTGTGTCTCTAGACATCTTTAGACTGGAATAGCGGGGCCCAGTACGTGAACTCGCCTCGCAGCCGGTGCACACGCCAGGATAGAGGACATCAGACTCCATAGAAAACTTGCTCGAGTCCGAGTCCGAGTCCAAGTCGGAGCGTCAATGTACAAGTCGAGTCCGAGTCATCGTGGGGGGAAAAATTCATGAGTCCGAGTCCGAGTCCAAGTCAGCGTACGCCGTAATTCACGAGTCCGAGTCCGAGTCCAAGTCATCGTGTGCGAGAATTCACGAGTCCAAGTCCGAGTCGCGTCAATCAGTGCGCGAGTCCGAGTCGAGTCACGAGTCCCGAAAATCGGCACTCGAGTCCGACTCGAGTCCGAGTCCAGGACTCGAGTACTCCATCTCTGGTATAACATGACAGGATAAAACCAATGTGGAGGAGCAGCTACATTTCAACACATATATCCACGAAGATTAATACATGAAGACTTGGGACTCGGACTTGACTTGGACTCTTCTTAGGTGACTCGGACTTGGACTCGGACTCGAACACAGGTAATGATGACTCGGACTCGGACTCGACTCGGACATTCCTTGGGTGACTCGGACTTGGACTCGGACTCGACTACGACTCTCCCTTGGTGACTCGGACTTGGACTCGGACTCGACTCGGACACTCCTTGGGTGACTCGGACTTGGACTCGGACTCGACTACGACTCTCCCTTGGTGACTCGGACTTGGACTCGGACTCGAAGAGTGGTGACTCGAGAGTGACTTGGACTCGTGAATTGGTGACTTGACTACAACACTGCTCTGTATATATATACCCTGCAGTAATAGTACTCTGTATATATATACCCTGCAGTAATAGTACTCACTCTGTATATATATACCCTGCAGTAATAGTACTCACTCTGTGTATATATACCCTGCAGTAATAGTACTCTGTATATATATACCCTGCAGTAATAGTACTCACTCTGTATATATATACCCTGCAGTAATAGTACTCACTCTGTGTATATATACCCTGCAGTAATAGTACTCACTCTGTGTATATATACTCTGCAGTAATAGTACTCTGTATATATATATCCTGCAGTAATAGTACTCACTCTGTATATATATAGCCTGCAGTAATAGTACTCACTCTGTGTATATATACCCTGCAGTAATAGTACTCTGTGTATATATACCCTGCAGTAATAGTACTCTGTGTATATATACCCTGCAGTAATATTACTAACATCAGTCCTCTGTATCGCAGCGTCGTCTTGGAGACGCAGCGAAGAAAGCGATTGGGAAGCTGAGCACGAGGACGGTGAGGAGAGGAGACAAGGTGAGGAGCTGAGGAGAGGAAGTGATCACACGCACTGTACTGTCACTGCAACCTGAGGGTGGGTGTGTCTCTGTGTGTGTGTGTGTGTGTGTGTGTGTGTGTGTGTCTCTGTGTGTGTGTGTGTGTGTGTGTGTGTGTGTGTTTGCTGCAGGAGACTGATCCAGACTTTAACCACTGTGCGGTGTGTATTGAAGCGTACCAGCTGAACGACGTGGTCCGCATCCTGCCCTGCAAGTGAGTCACACTGTGTATAGCTATACTACAGTATATATAAAGTACATACAGTATATACTCAGGTATACATACAGTATATATAAAGTATATACAGTATATATAAAGTTCATACAGTATATATAAAGTTCATACAGTATATATAAAGTTCATACAATATATACTCAGGTATACTACAGTATATATAAAGTTCATACAGTATATACTCAGGTATACTACAGTATATATAAAGTTCATACAGTATATATAAAGTTCATACAGTATATATAAAGTTCATACAGTATATACTCAGGTATACATACAGTGTGTAAAGTGTATAGATATGTGATCACATGACGCTGCAGACGTGAAGTTTACCTGATCCTAGAAACTCTCTTGATGGCGTCTCACTGACCAATCAGAGCAGAGAGACTCTCTGTGCAGCTCCTCATCTGTAACCATGGGAACAGAACATAGACGTCTGCTGTATGGATATAAACGTACGTGTGTGTGTGTGTGTGTGTGTGTGTGTGTGTGTGTGTGTGTGTGTGTGTGTGTGTGTGTGTGTGGTGTGTGTGTGTGTGTGTGTGTGTGTGTGTGTGTGTGTGTGTGTGTGTGTGTGTGTGTGTGTGGTGTGTGTGTGTGTGTGTGTGTGTGTGTGTGTGTGTGTGTGTGTGTGTGTGTGTGTGTGTGTGTGTGTGTGTGTGTGTGTGTGTGTGTGTGTGTGTGTGTGTGCAGACATGTCTTCCACAAGGTGTGTGTGGACCCCTGGCTGAACGAGCACTGCACCTGTCCCATGTGTAAGCTGAACATCCTGAAGGCTCTGGGCATCGCGGTGAGTCATGTGACCTGTTGGTGTTTCAGGGGGGAGTCATGTGACCTGTTGGTGTTTCAGGGGAAGTCATGTGACCCGTTGGTGTTTCAGGGGGGAGTCATGTGACCTGTTGGTGTTTCAGGGGGGAGTCATGTGACCTGTTGGTGTTTCAGGGGAAGTCATGTGACCTGTTGGTGTTTCAGGGGAAGTCATGTGACCTGTTGGTGTTTCAGGGGAAGTCATGTGACCTGTTGGTGTTTCAGGGGGGAGTTTCTCATGTATACTCTCTCCCCCCCTCTCTCCCCCATGTATACTCTCTCTCCTCCATGTATACTCTCTCTCCCCATGTATACTCTCTCTCCCCCTCTCTCCCCCATGGATACTCTCTCCCCCTCTCTCCCCCATGTATACTCTCTCTCCCCCTCTCTCCCCCATGTATACTCTCTCCCCCTCTCTCCCCCATGTATACTCTCTCCCTCTCTCTCCCCATGTATACTCTCTCTCCCCCATGTATACTCTCTCTCCCCATGTATACTCTCTCCCTCTCTCTCCCCATGTATACTCTCTCTCCCTCTCTCTCCCCCATGTATACTCTCTCTCTCTCCCATGTATACTCTCTCTCCCCCATGTATACTCTCTCTCCCCCATGTATACTCTCTCCCTCTCTCTCCCCATGTATACTCTCTCTCCCTCTCTCTCCCCCATGTATACTCTCTCTCCCCCATGTATACTCTCTCCCCCTCTCTCCCCCATGTATACTCTCTCCCCCTCTCTCCCCCATGTATACTCTCTCCCCCTCTCTCCCCCATGTATACTCTCTCCTCTCTCTCCCCATGTATACTCTCTCTCCCCCATGTATACTCTCTCTCCCCATGTATACTCTCTCCCTCTCTCTCCCCATGTATACTCTCTCTCCCTCTCTCCCCCATGTATACTCTCTCTCCCCCTCTCTCCCCATGTATACTCTCTCCCCCTCTCTCCCCCATGTATACTCTCTCCCTCTCTCTCCCCATGTATACTCTCTCTCCCCATGTATACTCTCTCTCCCCCATGTATACTCTCTCCCTCTCTCTCCCCATGTATACTCTCTCTCCCCCCCCCTCTCGGCCCTCCTCTCTCCCCATGTATACTCTCTCTCCCCCATGTATACTCTCTCTCTCCCCCCATGTATACTCTCTCCCTCTCTCTCCCCATGTATACTCTCTCTCCCTCTCTCTCCCCCATGTATACTCTCTCTCCCCCATGTATACTCTCTCTCCCCTCTCTCCCCCATGTATACTCTCTCTCCCCCTCTCTCTCCCCCCATGTATACTCTCTCCCCCTCTCTCCCCCATGTATACTCTCTCTTCCTCTCTCTCCCCCATGTATACTCTCTCTCCCCCTCTCTCCCCCCATGTATACTCTCTCTAACCTCCCCCCCCCATGTATACTCTCTCTAATCTCCCCCCCATGTATACTCTCTCTAACCTCCCCCCCCCATGTATACTCTCTCTAACCTCCCCCCCATGTATACTCTCTCTAACCTCCCCCCCTCATGTATACTCTCTCCCCCACAGACGGCCGTCCCCTGTGTGGACGGGCTGGAGCTGGATGTGGACCGGCTCCCTGTGGCGTCCAGCAGCCGCGCCCCCCCCCCAGGAGACCCCCCCCCCATCAGCCTGGAGCCCCTCAGCCCCCCCCCCCTCAGCCCGGAGGCCCTCTGACATCACCATCGCTGTCACCAGTACGTTCTCCTGTATTACACGATCAATACTTCATTCTGATTGGTCAATTCCGTCATTTCAGGTTATTCAGTCAGGGAGGCGTCGTTATGGGCAAGCCCAACGTTTTTTTTCGAGACTGTGTCTCAGGGCTTCTTAACATTTATGAAACTATTAATGTGTAGCACCAGATTAACGGGAAGAATCTCAGCTAACTGAAGATATGAACTATTTTTACCAAAACAAAACACAAGTCTCATAAGAAGCGTCTAAATGACCCCTGAGCGAAAAAATGCAAACTGACTTTGGCACAGAACTCAAGATAAAGATACCCTTATTACTTATCGTAGCTGCACATACAATATAGCCGATTAAAGCTGAGACTCCACAGATTATATAGGTATAGTATCATCACTGAGCGATCCGAACTTGCGACAGGGGAAGCAAACACAGACATCACAACACGTACCTTTACGGAGCTTTTACGGGAGATCGTCTCACCGTAGCTGTCAATCTGATCAAAAGACGTATTAAACGAGAAAAAACGAGGCTGAATCGGTTGATCCATGGGTTGATAATGTGTCTGTCGCTTTGAAAAAATTATTTATAATCCATAATTCCATTTTTATGTAAAAATCAGAGAAAAAAAGTTAGCTGCTAATGGTAGCCATACTCTGCTAATGGAAGAGTATGCAGCTTCCGGTTTTGGCTATGCGTCACTCTCACTCCTTATTTGGTAACGTGTCAAATCCACAAATCCTTAGTAACAGCTGGAAGAGAGGGGGGGGGGGGGGGGGCTACAAGGATCTGTTTGGGGTTAGGAGCAGGACACTTCAGAGACATGTCTTCATTTCTGAGACCTGTGATACGCATAAAGACAGTACAACAGGAGACCTTTAATGTATATTTATATATATATGCAGAGTGTGTCTGTGGTTCAGTCTGTGTTTGTGTCTCCAGGCGGAGGGTCCTTCTTCACCAGGACCTCCATGTCTCCTCTGGTCTGTGAGATGGAGCTGCCGGACCTCCAGAGCTCTCTGGACCTGTATGACGACAACAACAAGTCCTGAGGGTTCCTGTGGGTTCCCGGGGGTTCCCGAGGGGTCCTGGGGGTTTCTGAGGGTTCCTGGAGGTTCCTGAGGGTTCCTGAGGGCACTGATCACATGGAAGAACATCAAACAGCATTAAACCTTCAGCCTGGATCCAGGTCTCAGTTCAGACCCTTGTGACTTTGTTTTACCCAGAAGGAGAACCAGAGCTGGATCCTTTAATCCAGAGAACTGTGGACCAGGAGCCAGAACCTAAACCCTGTTCCTTAGGTGGACCTGAATGTCATGTTGCTGTTGATTTCCTTAAAACGTTCCGGGAAAAGTTCTTGAATCCCTAAAAGTGTTCTTGTGTTCCTGGAAAAGAGCTCCTGAAACAGGCCCTGAATTCCTAAGGTTCCTCTCAAAGGTTCCTGAGCACCTAAAAACTGTTCTTAGGTCTCCGGAAGACTTTGGCCATTCCTTAAAAGGTTCCTGGAAAGGTCCTGAGTTTAAAAAATGTTTGCATAAAAAGGTCAAAAGTTCTTAACTTGGTTTCTTGAAAAGGGTTCCTGGGTTCTGAAAAAGGTTCTTGGATTCCTGAAAACTGGTTTCTGGAAGAGTTCCCAAGCACGTAAAGAGGTTCTGTTGGGTTCCTGAGCACAGAGATTCGGAAAACATTTCCCAGGTGATACAGATGTTCCTGGGTTCTCTATGACGTTTCAGTTCCTACAAAGGTTCCCTGATTCTGGACGCTTCAGAAAGGTTCCAGAGTTCTTGGAAAACGTGTCAAAGGACCTGAGACTTTTTCACCCGAACAGTCCATCAGGACCAGAACTCTAACAGACCATCAGGACCAGAACCCCAACAGACCCAAGACAACCTAAACCCAGAAGACATTTCTGTCCCAAACTGATGTTCTGATGTTCTGATGAACTGATGTTCTAATGTTCTGATGTTCTGATGAACTGATGTTCTGATGTTCTGATGTTCTGATGTTCTGATAAACTGATGAACTGATGTTCTGATGAACTGATGTTCTGATGTTCTGATGTTCTGATGAACTGATGTTTTGATGTTCTGATGTTCTGATATTCTGATAAACTGATGAACTGATGTTCTGATGAACTGATGTTCTGATGTTCTGATGAACTGATGTTCTGATGTTCTGATGTTCTGATGAACTGATGTTCTGATGAACTGATGTTCTGATGTTCTGATGTTCTGATGAACTGATGTTCTGATGAACTGATGTTCTGATGTTCTGATGAACTGATGTTCTGATGTTCTGATGTTCTGATGAACTGATGTTCTGATGAACTGATGTTCTGATGTTCTGATGTTCTGATGAACTGATGTTCTGATGTTCTGATGAACTGATGTTCTGATGAACTGATGTTCTGATGTTCTGATGAACTGATGTTCTGATGTTCTGATGTTCTGATGTTCTGATGAACTGATGTTCTGATGTTCTGAGCCCAGAGGTTCTTCAGCGGTCTGGACCTGAACAGAGTTAAACTCCTGTAGCAATAATTAGGTTTAAAGGAAAGGTCCAACACTTCAGAGAACCTCCTGTTATCTGTTTCAGTAACGAAGGTTCCTCAGGTCCTGGGTTCTCCAATCAAACCCTCAGATCTTAGTCCTCACAGAGCTGAGTCAGGTCTGTCCTCAAAGAGCTGAGTCAGGTCTCCACCTATTGGCTGACAGACCTGAGTCCCCTCCTCCTATTGGCTGACAGACCTGAGTCCCCTCCTCCTATTGGCTGACAGACCTGAGTCCCCTCCTCCTATTGGCTGACAGACCTGAGTCCCCTCCTCCTATTGGCTGACAGACAGGTGGGCGTGTCTCTGAAGTGATGGACAGCTCCTTTATGTATTCTGCAGCTCTGAGTATACTGGCTCCTTATATAAACAGCATTATAGAATATACTGAATATAACCTCACTGTGTACTTCCTCATTAAAGTACTCTAACCTGCCAACGCCTCCAATTACTCTCCAGGTACTCAGTACACATACTCAGTACAAGTACTCACCAAGTACTTAGTACACATACTCACCAAGTACTTAGTACACATACTCACCAAGTACACACTGCAAGTGCAGAGTACACATACTCACCAATTACACACTGCAAGTAATCAGTACAAGTACCCACTGCAAGTAATCAGTACAAATACACACCAAGTACTCAGTATAAGTACACACCAAGTTCTCATTATAAGTACTCAGCAAGTACTCACAGCGTGTACTTATCTGCATTGCTCTTGGTCTTCAGTTAAAGGTGTGTGTACTCTGAACACGTGATGAAGACTCTTTAACCACTCTTCATCACGTGTTCAATGAACTCTGAACACGTGATGAAGACTCTTCTTTAACCACTCTTCATCACGTGTTCAATGAACTCTGAACACGTGATGAAGACTCTTCTTTAACCACTCTTCATCACGTGTTCAATGAACTCTGAACACGTGATGAAGACTAACGGTAGAACTGCCCTTCAAAATAAAGGAATCAGGAGTTCTACAAAAAGGAAACTCATTTTAAAAACATGAACGTTAGCACAGACTGAAACTAACAGGCGATACACAGCATGAGAGATTATAACATCCAATCAATCAATCAATCAATCAATCAAGCAATCAATCAATACTGTATCTATAATGTGTGTTCAGAATATAAAGCAGTGAGCAGTTATTCAGAACACAGGAAAACACATGGAGGCAAAGGAAGCCAGAAGTAAGAACATTGAACATAAATGAATTAATATACATTCATTTATTAACGTTAACACGTTACACATGAAGCGTCCTGTCTGAAGAAAGACCCTTCCTCACATGAAGCCAGAACAGAGACAGATCCAGCTCCTTATGAGACCCTTCCTCACATGAAGCCAGAACAGAGACATATCCAGCTCCTTATGAGACCCTTCCTCATATGAAGCCAGAACAGAGACAGATCCAGCTCCTTTGAGACCCTTCCTCACATGAAGCCAGAACAGAGACAGATCCAGCTCCTTATGAGACCCTTCCTCACATGAAGCCAGAACAGAGACATATCCAGCCCTTTATGAGACCCTTCCTCACATGAAGCCAGAACAGAGACAGATCCAGCTCCTTATGAGACCCTTCCTCACATGAAGCCAGAACAAAGACAGATCCAGCTCCTTTGAGACCCTTCCTCACATGAAGCCAGTACAGAGAGAGATTCAGAGAGTACCTGGATGTGGGCCCACAGAGCATGCGCAGTGGAGTTTCCCCTTAAGCCCCGCCTCTGATCACCCGCTCTGTCAGTCAGATGAATGGAGAGATTAAATAACTCTAATTCAGCTTCAGGTGCATTGTACAGCTTTTATACTGTAATGATTTAAATAAGGGAAATACAATAATTCATACCGTGGAGTTTATTTAGTTTAAAACAAATCATCCACTGATTTAACACACGTCTCTTTCTCAATGTAAGTCAATAACGTCCCCGAAGCTGCAGTTCCACCATTTCACCGCTCCGAACATTCAACGGGGGGTTTATGTTTTTCATTTCTTTATTTTTTATTCAATAACATATTTCCTGGGGGGCATTCCATACGTACATGAACGTAATGACGCAGCGTGACGTGATGAAGCAGCACCAGACCCGGAAGTGATGTTTAGTCAGCTGACTGAAAACAACAACAACATCAGAGGAGCTCCGGGAAAATAACGGGAATACTGCTCCTCCTTAGTACCGGGGATACTGCTCCTCCTTAGTACCGGGGATACTGCTCCTTCCTCCCGGGGATACTGCTCCTTAGTACCGGGGATACTGCTCCTTAGTACCGGGGATACTGCTCCTTCCTCCCCTGAATACTGCTCCTTAGTACCGGGGATACTGCTCCTTCCTCCCGGGGATACTGCTCCTTCCTCCCGGGAATACTGCTCCTTAGTACCGGGGATACTGCTCCTTCCTCCCGGGGATACTGCTCCTTCCTCCCGGGGATAGTGCTCCTTCTTAGTACCGGGGATACTGCTCCTTCCCCCGGGGGTCTCAGAGTGGTCCTCCTGCCTGGTTCTCCCCCCTCCTCTCGATGTGGATCCCCCCGGAGGAGGTGCTGCTGGCCGGGCCTCTGTGGGTCTCTGAGCGGGCAAACCCCTTCTTCATCCTACAGAGGAGGAGAGGACATGGCCGAGGAGGGGGGCTGTCCGGTGAGTACAAGTACTCAGATCATGTACTTGAGTAAAAGTAGAAGTATTCAGGTCTTGTACTTGAGTAAAAGTAGAAGTACTCAGGTCTTGTACTTGAGTAAAAGTAGAAGTACTCAGATTGTGCACTTGAGTAAAAGTAGAAGTACTCAGATCTGGTACTTGAGTAAAAGTAGAAGTACTCAGATCTTGTACTTGAGTAAAAGTAGAAGTACTCGGATCATGTACTTGAGTAAAAGTAGAAGTACTCAGGTATTGTACTTGAGTAAAAGTAGAAGTACTCAGATCTGGTACTTGAGTAAAAGTAGAAGTACTCAGATCTTGTACTTAAGTAAAAGTAGAAGTACTCAGGTCTTGTACTTGAGTAAAAGTAGAAGTACTCAGGTCTTGTACTTGAGTAAAAGTAGAAGTACTCAGGTATTGTACTTGAGTAAAAGTAGAAGTACTCAGATCTGGTACTTGAGTAAAAGTAGAAGTACTCAGATCTTGTACTTAAGTAAAAGTAGAAGTACTCAGGTCTTGTACTTGAGTAAAAGTAGAAGTACTCAGGTCTTGTACTTGAGTAAAAGTAGAAGTACTCAGGTCTTGTAGTTGAGTAAAAGTAGAAGTACTCAGGTCTTGTACTTGAGTAAAAGTAGAAGTACTCAGGTCTTGTACTTGAGTAAAAGTAGAAGTACTCAGGTCTTGTACTTGAGTAAAAGTAGAAGTACTCAGATTGTGCACTTGAGTAAAAGTAGAAGTACTCAGATCTGGTACTTGAGTAAAAGTAGAAGTACTCAGATCTTGTACTTGAGTAAAAGTAGAAGTACTCAGATCATGTACTTGAGTAAAAGTAGAAGTACTCAGGTATTGTACTTGAGTAAAAGTAGAAGTACTCAGATCTTGTACTTAAGTAAAAGTAGAAGTACTCAGGTCTTGTACTTGAGTAAAAGTAGAAGTACTCAGGTATTGTACTTGAGTAAAAGTAGAAGTACTCAGATCTTGTACTTGAGTAAAAGTAGAAGTACTCAGATCATGTACTTGAGTAAAAGTAGAAGTACTCAGGTATTGTACTTGAGTAAAAGTAGAAGTACTCAGATCTGGTACTTGAGTAAAAGTAGAAGTACTCAGATCTTGTACTTAAGTAAAAGTAGAAGTACTCAGGTCTTGTACTTGAGTAAAAGTAGAAGTACTCAGGTATTGTACTTGAGTAAAAGTAGAAGTACTCAGATCTGGTACTTGAGTAAAAGTAGAAGTACTCAGATCTTGTACTTGAGTAAAAGTAGAAGTACTCAGATCATGTACTTGAGTAAAAGTAGAAGTACTCAGATCATGTACTTGAGTAAAAGTAGAAGTACTCAGATCATGTACTTGAGTAAAAGTAGAAGTACTCAGGTATTGTACTTGAGTAAAAGTAGAAGTACTCAGGTCTTGTACTTGAGTAAAAGTAGAAGTACTCAGATCATGTACTTGAGTAAAAGTAGAAGTACTCAGGTCTTGTACTTGAGTAAAAGTAGAAGTATTCAGGTCTTGTACTTGAGTAAAAGTAGAAGTACTCAGGTATTGTACTTGAGTAAAAGTAGAAGTACTCAGATCTGGTACTTGAGTAAAAGTAGAAGTACTCAGATCTTGTACTTAAGTAAAAGTAGAAGTACTCAGGTCTTGTACTTGAGTAAAAGTAGAAGTACTCAGGTCTTGTACTTGAGTAAAAGTAGAAGTACTCAGGTCTTGTAGTTGAGTAAAAGTAGAAGTACTCAGGTCTTGTACTTGAGTAAAAGTAGAAGTACTCAGGTCTTGTACTTGAGTAAAAGTAGAAGTACTCAGATTGTGCACTTGAGTAAAAGTAGAAGTACTCAGATCTGGTACTTGAGTAAAAGTAGAAGTACTCAGATCTTGTACTTGAGTAAAAGTAGAAGTACTCAGATCATGTACTTGAGTAAAAGTAGAAGTACTCAGGTATTGTACTTGAGTAAAAGTAGAAGTACTCAGATCTTGTACTTAAGTAAAAGTAGAAGTACTCAGGTCTTGTACTTGAGTAAAAGTAGAAGTACTCAGGTATTGTACTTGAGTAAAAGTAGAAGTACTCAGATCTTGTACTTGAGTAAAAGTAGAAGTACTCAGATCATGTACTTGAGTAAAAGTAGAAGTACTCAGGTATTGTACTTGAGTAAAAGTAGAAGTACTCAGATCTGGTACTTGAGTAAAAGTAGAAGTACTCAGATCTTGTACTTAAGTAAAAGTAGAAGTACTCAGGTCTTGTACTTGAGTAAAAGTAGAAGTACTCAGGTATTGTACTTGAGTAAAAGTAGAAGTACTCAGATCTGGTACTTGAGTAAAAGTAGAAGTACTCAGATCTTGTACTTGAGTAAAAGTAGAAGTACTCAGATCATGTACTTGAGTAAAAGTAGAAGTACTCAGATCATGTACTTGAGTAAAAGTAGAAGTACTCAGATCATGTACTTGAGTAAAAGTAGAAGTACTCAGGTATTGTACTTGAGTAAAAGTAGAAGTACTCAGGTCTTGTACTTGAGTAAAAGTAGAAGTACTCAGATCATGTACTTGAGTAAAAGTAGAAGTACTCAGGTCTTGTACTTGAGTAAAAGTAGAAGTACTCAGATTGTGCACTTGAGTAAAAGTAGAAGTACTCAGATCTTGTACTTAAGTAAAAGTAGAAATACTCAGGTCTTGTACTTGAGTAAAAGTAGAAGTACTCAGGTCTTGTACTTGAGTAAAAGTAGAAGTACTCAGGTCTTGTACTTGAGTAAAAGTAGAAGTACTCAGGTCTTGTAGTTGAGTAAAAGTAGAAGTACTCAGGTCTTGTACTTGAGTAAAAGTAGAAGTACTCAGGTCTTGTACTTGAGTAAAAGTAGAAGTACTCAGGTCTTGTACTTGAGTAAAAGTAGAAGTACTCAGGTCTTGTACTTGAGTAAAAGTAGAAGTACTCAGGTCTTGTAGTTGAGTAAAAGTAGAAGTACTCAGGTCTTGTACTTGAGTAAAAGTAGAAGTACTCAGGTCTTGTACTTGAGTAAAAGTAGAAGTACTCAGGTCTTGTACTTGAGTAAAAGTAGAAGTACTCAGATTGTGCACTTGAGTAAAAGTAGAAGTACTCAGATCTGGTACTTGAGTAAAAGTAGAAGTACTCAGATCTTGTACTTGAGTAAAAGTAGAGGTACTCAGATCATGTACTTGAGTAAAAATAGAAGTACTCAGATCATGTACTTGAGTAAAAGTAGAAGTACTCAGATCATGTACTTGAGTAAAGGTAGAAGTACTCAGGTATTGTACTTGAGTAAAAGTAGAAGTACTCAGGTCTTGTACTTGAGTAAAAGTAGAAGTACTCAGATCATGTACTTGAGTAAAAGTAGAAGTACTCAGGTCTTGTACTTGAGTAAAAGTAGAAGTACTCAGATTGTGCACTTGAGTAAAAGTAGAAGTACTCAGATCTTGTACTTAAGTAAAAGTAGAAGTACTCAGGTCTTGTACTTGAGTAAAAGTAGAAGTACTCAGGTCTTGTACTTGAGTAAAAGTAGAAGTACTCAGGTCTTGTACTTGAGTAAAAGTAGAAGTACTCAGGTCTTGTAGTTGAGTAAAAGTAGAAGTACTCAGGTCTTGTACTTGAGTAAAAGTAGAAGTACTCAGGTCTTGTACTTGAGTAAAAGTAGAAGTACTCAGGTCTTGTACTTGAGTAAAAGTAGAAGTACTCAGGTCTTGTACTTGAGTAAAAGTAGAAGTACTCAGGTCTTGTAGTTGAGTAAAAGTAGAAGTACTCAGGTCTTGTACTTGAGTAAAAGTAGAAGTACTCAGGTCTTGTACTTGAGTAAAAGTAGAAGTACTCAGGTCTTGTACTTGAGTAAAAGTAGAAGTACTCAGATTGTGCACTTGAGTAAAAGTAGAAGTACTCAGATCTGGTACTTGAGTAAAAGTAGAAGTACTCAGATCTTGTACTTGAGTAAAAGTAGAAGTACTCAGGTATTGTACTTGAGTAAAAGTAGAAGTACTCAGATCTTGTACTTAAGTAAAAGTAGAAGTACTCAGGTCTTGTACTTGAGTAAAAGTAGAAGTACTCAGGTATTGTACTTGAGTAAAAGTAGAAGTACTCAGATCTTGTACTTGAGTAAAAGTAGAAGTACTCAGATCATGTACTTGAGTAAAAGTAGAAGTACTCAGGTATTGTACTTGAGTAAAAGTAGAAGTACTCAGATCTGGTACTTGAGTAAAAGTAGAAGTACTCAGATCTTGTACTTAAGTAAAAGTAGAAGTACTCAGGTCTTGTACTTGAGTAAAAGTAGAAGTACTCAGGTATTGTACTTGAGTAAAAGTAGAAGTACTCAGATCTGGTACTTGAGTAAAAGTAGAAGTACTCAGATCTTGTACTTAAGTAAAAGTAGAAGTACTCAGATCTTGTACTTGAGTAAAAGTAGAAGTACTCAGATCATGTACTTGAGTAAAAGTAGAAGTACTCAGGTCTTGTACTTGAGTAAAAGTAGAAGTACTCAGATCATGTACTTGAGTAAAAGTAGAAGTACTCAGGTCTTGTACTTGAGTAAAAGTAGAAGTACTCAGATTGTGCACTTGAGTAAAAGTAGAAGTACTCAGATCTTGTACTTAAGTAAAAGTAGAAATACTCAGGTCTTGTACTTGAGTAAAAGTAGAAGTACTCAGGTCTTGTACTTGAGTAAAAGTAGAAGTACTCAGGTCTTGTACTTGAGTAAAAGTAGAAGTACTCAGGTCTTGTAGTTGAGTAAAAGTAGAAGTACTCAGGTCTTGTACTTGAGTAAAAGTAGAAGTACTCAGGTCTTGTACTTGAGTAAAAGTAGAAGTACTCAGGTCTTGTACTTGAGTAAAAGTAGAAGTACTCAGGTCTTGTACTTGAGTAAAAGTAGAAGTACTCAGGTCTTGTAGTTGAGTAAAAGTAGAAGTACTCAGGTCTTGTACTTGAGTAAAAGTAGAAGTACTCAGGTCTTGTACTTGAGTAAAAGTAGAAGTACTCAGGTCTTGTACTTGAGTAAAAGTAGAAGTACTCAGATTGTGCACTTGAGTAAAAGTAGAAGTACTCAGATCTGGTACTTGAGTAAAAGTAGAAGTACTCAGATCTTGTACTTGAGTAAAAGTAGAAGTACTCAGGTATTGTACTTGAGTAAAAGTAGAAGTACTCAGATCTTGTACTTAAGTAAAAGTAGAAGTACTCAGGTCTTGTACTTGAGTAAAAGTAGAAGTACTCAGGTATTGTACTTGAGTAAAAGTAGAAGTACTCAGATCTTGTACTTGAGTAAAAGTAGAAGTACTCAGATCATGTACTTGAGTAAAAGTAGAAGTACTCAGGTATTGTACTTGAGTAAAAGTAGAAGTACTCAGATCTGGTACTTGAGTAAAAGTAGAAGTACTCAGATCTTGTACTTAAGTAAAAGTAGAAGTACTCAGATCATGTACTTGAGTAAAAGTAGAAGTACTCAGGTATTGTACTTGAGTAAAAGTAGAAGTACTCAGATCTGGTACTTGAGTAAAAGTAGAAGTACTCAGATCTTGTACTTAAGTAAAAGTAGAAGTACTCAGGTCTTGTACTTGAGTAAAAGTAGAAGTACTCAGGTATTGTACTTGAGTAAAAGTAGAAGTACTCAGATCTGGTACTTGAGTAAAAGTAGAAGTACTCAGATCTTGTACTTAAGTAAAAGTAGAAGTACTCAGATCTTGTACTTGAGTAAAAGTAGAAGTACTCAGATCATGTACTTGAGTAAAAGTAGAAGTACTCAGATCATGTACTTGAGTAAAAGTAGAAGTACTCAGATCATGTACTTGAGTAAAAGTAGAAGTACTCAGATCATGTACTTGAGTAAAAGTAGAAGTACTCAGATCATGTACTTGAGTAAAGGTAGAAGTACTCAGGTATTGTACTTGAGTAAAAGTAGAAGTACTCAGGTCTTGTACTTGAGTAAAAGTAGAAGTACTCAGATCATGTACTTGAGTAAAAGTAGAAGTACTCAGGTCTTGTACTTGAGTAAAAGTAGAAGTACTCAGATTGTGCACTTGAGTAAAAGTAGAAGTACTCAGATCTTGTACTTAAGTAAAAGTAGAAGTACTCAGGTCTTGTACTTGAGTAAAAGTAGAAGTACTCAGGTCTTGTACTTGAGTAAAAGTAGAAGTACTCAGGTCTTGTACTTGAGTAAAAGTAGAAGTACTCAGGTCTTGTACTTGAGTAAAAGTAGAAGTACTCAGATCATGTACTTGAGTAAAAGTAGAAGTACTCAGATCATGTACTTGAGTAAAAGTAGAAGTACTCAGGTATTGTACTTGAGTAAAAGTAGAAGTACTCAGGTCTTGTACTTGAGTAAAAGTAGAAGTACTCAGGTCTTGTACTTGAGTAAAAGTAGAAGTACTCAGGTCTTGTACTTGAGTAAAAGTAGAAGTACTCAGGTCTTGTAGTTGAGTAAAAGTAGAAGTACTCAGGTCTTGTACTTGAGTAAAAGTAGAAGTACTCAGATCATGTACTTGAGTAAAAGTAGAAGTACTCAGATCATGTACTTGAGTAAAAGTAGAAGTACTCAGGTATTGTACTTGAGTAAAAGTAGAAGTACTCAGGTCTTGTACTTGAGTAAAAGTAGAAGTACTCAGATCATGTACTTGAGTAAAAGTAGAAGTACTCAGATTGTGCACTTGAGTAAAAGTAGAAGTACTCAGATCTTGTACTTAAGTAAAAGTAGAAGTACTCAGGTCTTGTACTTGAGTAAAAGTAGAAGTACTCAGGTCTTGTACTTGAGTAAAAGTAGAAGTACTCAGGTCTTGTACTTGAGTAAAAGTAGAAGTACTCAGGTCTTGTAGTTGAGTAAAAGTAGAAGTACTCAGGTCTTGTACTTGAGTAAAAGTAGAAGTACTCAGGTCTTGTACTTGAGTAAAAGTAGAAGTACTCAGGTCTTGTACTTGAGTAAAAGTAGAAGTTACAGTAAAAGTCATGCATTCAAAATGTTCCTCAAGTAAAAGTAGAAAAGTATTCTCATCAAAATATAGTTAAAGTAGCGACAGTAAAAGTAGTCATTGTGCAGATTGGTCCATTTCAGAATAATATATATGATATGTTTTATAATGATTGATCATGAAAGTGTTCTCAAAGCTGGTAAAGGTGCAGCTAGTTTGAATGGCTTTGTATACTGTTAATACTAAATACTAAGTATTGATCCTGTGTTCTGCAGGTGGTGTAAATACTAAGTATTGATCCTGTGTTCTGCAGGTCTGCTGGTGGGCACCCTGGACGTGGTTCTGGACTCCAGCGCCCGGATCGCTCCCTATCGGATCCTCCTGCAGACGGCCGGCGCTCAGATCTACTGGAACATCGCAAGCGGTGTGTTGAAGCCATTTTGCATTTCTATCTTATTTATATTTATAATGAAACGTTATGAATGTTTTGTATATGATGTTTTATTATTTATATGTATTATTGTTTTGATTGATGCCAACTATCAATGTATTGTTATGGTGGCGTCATATAGGCGTGGTTTTGGCCTTTAAAGAGCAACTTGCAGGTTAGAGACACCAGTGAATAAATGTGTAGGAAAATGATGTATACACTAGATTTTCCAAAAAATATACATAAATATACACTACAGTGACATCTGGCGTCGTTTTTGTAAGACATTTTTACTTCCGCATAAAAAAAGCCTCCCCATGTGACCTCCCACGTGTGACGTCACATGGGGGAGAGCTGCCGGTCTAACGTATGAATAAACATGGATCACAATGCTAGTTTTGACACAGAAGAGGTTGAAAATGTATATTCAAATGCATATGACGGACCACAACCTTATAATTATGAGCCTGCTAGGTGTCCAAGAGACCAGGAGCAGCCAAGGATTAGAAGAAATAACGGCCATCGGAGAGAAATGGAGCTGTGGTGTGAGGAGAACCAGTGGAGAACTGGGCAGCTGTCTTGGTGAGTGACCGGCGTTAGCTACAGTTAATGTTAGCTAACGTCGGTCACATCACAACATTGTAAAGTTAGCTATCATATATCAGGCTATAACTAAAGTAGTATTGATAATATAGTAACGTTACTGGCAGGACTGTTGATACTCATCCATAACAGAAACTAATGCGCAAGTATCAACCGTATCTCGCGTTACCTAATGCAACTCCACACTACGTTACGGTGCTGTGTACCGGAGGGGAGAGAGAGAGGAGCGAAGGGGGGGGAGAGAGAGAGGAACGAATGGGGGAGAGAGAGAGGAGCGAAGGGGGGGAGAGAGAGGAACGAAGGGGGGAGAGAGATGTAATACGGTTTCCTGATAAACGTTTTGTTTGATAGGCCTCAGCTGTGGAGAGTATGTGCTGCAGGGAGGTGGATGCACCTCGCACAACGCACCCAGGAATGAAAGCTAGCTCCGGTCCTTTTCCTGTTAGGGAAACTGTGACTCGATGTCCTGACAGGCTGGAGTTTGTGCAACCAGCTCACCATGATTAAAAATGGTGAAATGCAATGTAAAATTACAGAAAAAATACCAGCTCACTAAATCACAACCGCTCAAACCTCAAAAGCAGAGCTCAAAACGGCTCCTTTCCCTCTGAATTCCTGCCCTTATGTCTTGTAAAACATATCAAATCCTGCATTAACTTTTTTAATTGTAATTTTCAGGCAAGGTTAAGCATAAATCTAGTAAAAAAAAAAACCTGCAAGTTGCTCTTTAACAGACGACACGTGACAGGTGCTCACGATGAGTGGAAGGCAAACTGTTTATTAACCGCACGATAGACACCGCGTGTGTTTGGGTTTTAATTTTAACCCTGGGCTGTGTCTTGCAGGCTCGTCCAGGAAGGAGATCACGGAGCACTGGGATTGGCTGGAGTCAAACCTGCTGCAGACCATCTCCATCTTTGACAACGACGAAGACGTCACCACCTTCGTCAAGGGAAAGATCTCAGTATGTCACTTCCTGTTTACTTTCTCAGGTCTCTCTTCCTGTGTGTCATCCTTTCAGTGAGTGATGTCACTTCCTGCAGGGTATCATCGCAGAGGAGAACCGGCTGAAGCAGGGCGAGGAGCAGGAGGAGGATTGTGGGAAGTTTCGGGAGGCGGAGCTGAAGATGAGGAGGCTGTTCGGGATGCCGGAGGAAGAGAAGCTGGTCAACTATTACTCCTGCAGCTACTGGAAGGGAAGGGTGCCGCGGCAGGGCTGGCTCTACCTGTCCGTCAACCACCTGTGCTTCTACTCCTTTCTGTTGGGCAAGGAGGGTACGGCCGGCCAATCACAGGCCAGAGTTCTTTCATATCATTTAAAAAGTGAAACAGAAAACACGAAGCGCAAACTGCCCTGGCCATTGAAGAGTAAATTAACAACTTCTGTAGTAACCTGAAGGTACTCCTCTAGTGACCTGAAGGTACTCCTCTAGTGACCTGAAGGTACTCCTCTAGTTATCTGAAGGTACTCCTCTAGTGACCTGAAGGTACTCCTCTAGTGACCTGACGGTACTCCTCTAGTGACCTGAAGGTACTCCTCTAGTGACCTGAAGGTACTCCTCTAGTGACCTGAAGGTACTCCTCTAGTGACCTGACGGTACTCCTCTAGTGACCTGACGGTACTCCTCTAGTGACCTGAAGGTACTCCTCTAGTGACCTGAAGGTACTCCTCTAGTGACCTGACGGTACTCCTCTAGTGACCTGACGGTACTCCTCTAGTGACCTGAAGGTACTCCTCTAGTGACCTGACGGTACTCCTCTAGTGACCTGAAGGTTGACCTGAAGGTACTCCTCTAGTGACCTGAAGGTACTCCTCTAGTGACCTGAAGGTACTCCTCTAGTGACCTGACGGTACTCCTCTAGTGACCTGACGGTACTCCTCTAGTGACCTGAAGGTACTCCTCTAGTGACCTGACGGTACTCCTCTAGTGACCTGACGGTACTCCTCTAGTGACCTGAAGGTACTCCTCTAGTGACCTGAAGGTATTCCTCTAGTGACCTGACGGTACTTCCTCTAGTGACCTGAAGGTACTCCTCTAGTGACCTGACGGTACTCCTCTAGTGACCTGACGGTACTCCTCTAGTGACCTGAAGGTACTCCTCTAGTGACCTGAAGGTACTCCTCTAGTGACCTGACGGTACTCCTCTAGTGACCTGAAGGTACTCCTCTAGTGACCTGACGGTACTCCTCTAGTGACCTGACGGTACTCCTCTAGTGACCTGACGGTACTCCTCTAGTGACCTGACGGTACTCCTCTAGTGACCTGAAGGTACTCCTCTAGTGACCTGAAGGTACTCCTCTAGTGACCTGAAGGTATTCCTCTAGTGACCTGACGGTACTCCTCTAGTGACCTGAAGGTACTCCTCTAGTGACCTGACGGTACTCCTCTAGTGACCTGACGGTACTCCTCTAGTGACCTGAAGGTACTCCTCTAGTGACCTGAAGGTACTCCTCTAGTGACCTGACGGTACTCCTCTAGTGACCTGAAGGTACTCCTCTAGTGACCTGACGGTACTCCTCTAGTGACCTGACGGTACTCCTCTAGTGACCTGACGGTACTCCTCTAGTGACCTGACGGTACTCCTCTAGTGACCTGAAGGTACTCCTCTAGTGACCTGACGGTACTCCTCTAGTGACCTGAAGGTACTCCTCTAGTGACCTGACGGTACTCCTCTAGTGACCTGAAGGTAGAGTAGATTGTTCAGGAACCAGACGATATGCCCTCCTTTGTGTTTCATGTCTATCTCAGGGGTCGGAGGTCAGGGTTGTTTATCTGTTTTATCTCTGTCTCTCTGCATCTCATGCCCCTTTCACACCGGCGCTTTTCAGGCTCCGGCTCGGAGCTGGAGCTGGAAAAGCGCCGGTTTTTCCTGTTCACACCGCAGCGGCGCCGGCTCATAGCTCCGAAATGCGGTTTACTTCCAGCTCCAAAAAACTGTCGGTCTAGAGGCAAGAGCTTCGGAGCTAGAGGCGGCGTCGCTTACGTCTCTCTTACGTCGAGGCGTGCAGGAAACTAAACCCACCTCCCCTGAACATGGGTCGACTGAAGAGTCTCGTCATGCCTGCCTACAAGCAGTAGCGCTGAGCAAAGTGACTAGAAGGCAACCACACACTTATAAAAAAAAACACACTTTATAAAGTCAGGCAACACTAACCAGGCTTCGTGTGATTCTGTTTATTTGTACCTTACTTTGACCATCCGTTCGCTGTTATTGATCATTGTGGAGAGCAGGCAGACGTTTTGTTTGTTATTATAGCAGCTATCAGATGGAATCAATACATGGGCTGCACAGGTTGTCATGTCCGACTATCACAAGTAGAATCATAATGAAAAATACGTCGGTAAAAAGTGCCTGTAGAAAACGCCTTAGCAAGTAGTCAGTTTAGCTTCGGTTGCTATGCTAACATCACCCATGTTATACCAGAGAAACTTTCATAACAGCGTTGTGATGCCAAACAGCGTCAATTCAGACTGACACACATTCACTTAAGGGGAACTGGGGATATGTATCAGCTGCTTGTGTGACAGTCAGACAGTGAATACTTTAGAGCCGTGTGAGCTAACCCGGAGCTAACGGGAGAATACACTCCCGTGGAAGAGCAGCCAGCACTGCAGCGGTCGGTAAATGCCGCTGAAACACATTAATAAACAATGAACCACGGCACTCTGGAGAAAAGTATAAGGTTGGAGAAGTCGTTATTTAATTTAATCTGGCTTCGTATGATTAAAAGCAACACGATCATCGACCCGACGCAGTCCCCGGCCCCGTTGTTGTTGTGAGGTGAGCTCCGTTGGGGAGAAAATCAGCGATGTAAACTGTGACGTCATGACGCAGCAGCGGCAGCTCTGGGCAGTGTGAACAGAGCGGGAGCTGAAAAGGGAAACCGGAGCTGAACCAGAAAAGCTCTAGCTAGGAGCTAGAAAGGGAAAAGCGCTGGTGTGAAAGCCGCATCAGTGACCCTGGTGGTGCAGGGGTCGGAGGTCAGGGTTGTTTATCTGATTTATCTCTGTCTCTCTGCATCTCAGTGACCCTGGTGGTGCAGTGGTCGGAGGTGACCCAGCTGGAGAAGAACGCCACGCTGGTGTTTCCAGAAAGCGTCCGAGTCAGCACGCGTCACACCGAGTACTTCTTCTCCATGTTTCTCAACATCAACGACACCTTCAAGCTGATGGAGCAGCTCGCCAACATGGCCATGCGGCAGCTTCTGGACAACGAGGCGTTCGCTGCCGACCGCTCGCTTCCCAAACCCTGCAAGACGCTGAAGAACGTCTCTGCGCTCAAGAGGTCTCACTCTGTTCAGATTCCCATGTGTTTAGTTATGATTATAAATAATAACATGTTGTGTTTCACAGCGTTTATGTTATGAAGACTCACTCCCTCTGACCTTTGACCTGATCAGCTGTTTCCTGTCCTGCAGGGATCTGGACGCCCGGGCGAAGAACGAGCGTTACCGCACGATGTTCCGGCTGACGCAGGACGAGCGTCTGGACGGACACACGGACTGCACCCTGTGGGCGCCGTTCGCCAAGATGCATGTGGTGGGACAGCTGTTCATCTCCAACAACTACATCTGTTTCAACAGCAGAGAAGAAGACCTGTGTCAGCTGATCATCCCCCTCAGAGAGGTAAACAGGAAGTCAGCTGATCATCCCCTCAGAGAGGTAAACAGGAAGTCAGCTGATCATCCCCTCAGAGAGGTAAACAGGAAGTCAGCTGATCATCCCCTCAGAGAGGTAAACAGGAAGTCTGCTGCAGGTGGAGTCAGGTGAAGCAGCAGGTGAAGTCAGGTGAAGCAGCAGGTGAAGTCAGGTGGAGCAGCAGGTGGAGTCAGGTGGAGCAGCAGGTGGAGCAGCAGGTGGAGTCAGGTGAAGCAGCAGGTGGAGTCAGGTGGAGCAGCAGGTGGAGTCAGGTGGAGCAGCAGGTGAAGTCAGGTGAAGTCAGGTGAAGCAGCAGGTGGAGTCAGGTGGAGCAGCAGGTGGAGCAGCAGGTGGAGCAGCAGGTGGAGTCAGGTGGAGTCAGGTGAAGCAGCAGGTGGAGTCAGGTGGAGCAGCAGGTGGAGTCAGGTGGAGCAGCAGGTGGAGTCAGGTGAAGCAGCAGGTGGAGTCAGGTGAAGCAGCAGGTGGAGTCAGGTGGAGCAGCAGGTGGAGTCAGGTGGAGTCAGGTGAAGCAGCAGGTGGAGTCAGGTGGAGCAGCAGGTGGAGCAGCAGGTGGAGTCAGGTGGAGTCAGGTGAAGCAGCAGGTGGAGTCAGGTGGAGCAGCAGGTGGAGTCAGGTGGAGCAGCAGGTGAAGTCAGGTGGAGCAGCAGGTGGAGTCAGGTGGAGCAGCAGGTGGAGTCAGGTGGAGCAGCAGGTGGAGTCAGGTGAAGCAGCAGGTGGAGTCAGGTGGAGCAGCAGGTGGAGTCAGGTGAAGCAGCAGGTGGAGTCAGGTGGAGCAGCAGGTGAAGTCAGGTGGAGCAGCAGGTGGAGTCAGGTGAAGCAGCAGGTGGAGCAGCAGGTGAAGTCAGGTGGAGCAGCAGGTGGAGTCAGGTGAAGCAGCAGGTGGAGTCAGGTGGAGTCAGGTGAAGCAGCAGGTGGAGTCAGGTGAAGCAGCAGGTGGAGTCAGGTGAAGCAGCAGGTGGAGTCAGACTCGCTGTTTGAGGGCTTGATAAGCCACTCCCCCTCCACACTCGTTGGTTTGGAACAGCACTTAATGTGGCGGACCCTCCGCGCGAATGCGCAAACGGAGGGGTAGTGTGTAGGGGGCGGTTTGGAATTCAGTTACCCATGATGCTCTTTACCCATGATGCTCTTTACCCATGATGCTCTTTACCCATGATGCTTTGCTGCAGGTGTCAGTGGTTGAGAAGGCAGACAGCAGCAGCATCCTGCCGTGTCCCGTCTCTATCAGCACCAAGAACAAGACCAACTTCCTGTTCGCTAACCTCAAAGACAGAGACTTCCTGCTGCAGCGGATCTCCGACTTCCTGCAGCGGACCCCCGACAGCAGCGGGGGCGAAACCAGCCCCCTGATTGGCCCCCTGATTGGCCCCCTGATTGGGCCCCTGGTGGGTCCTGAATCCATCCTGTTTCTGAGGGGTCAGCTGACAGGAAGTAGATTTCTCACAGTGATTCTGTTTCCTGTCCTCAGGGCTCCTCATCTGAGTCCGTCCTCAGGGGCCGACATTACCACCCTGACCTGCCGACAGCCAATCAGGGTCTCCTGAGGCTCTACCAGACCGGGGCCCCCGAGGACCTTGGGCCCAAAGCCGTGAGTTCAAGTCCCTCAGGAGGACCCTTAGATCCTGAGGACCCTTAGATACTGACCCTTAGATACTGAGGACCCTTAGATACTGACCCTTAGATACTGAGGACCCTTAGATACTGACCCTTAGATACTGAGGACCCTTAGATACTGAGGACCCTTAGATACTGAGGACCCTTAGATACTGACCCTTAGATACTCAGGACCCTTAGATACTGACCCTTAGATACTGACCCTTAGATACTCAGGACCCTTAGATACTGACCCTTAGATACTGACCCTTAGATACTCAGGACCCTTAGATACTGACCCTTAGATACTGAGGACCCTTAGATACTTAATTATTACAGTGTAGGCGGGGCGATCGGCTGTTCGGCAACGCTGCGTAAAACTGCCCTGACGTCATCTTCAATGCGAACCACAAAACCAAAACATCAGCTGTTAGCTGTTAGCACTCAGAGCTCACAGCTCCTCATATCTGTTCAGAAACTAGACAAAAGTTAAACAAGTACAAACCACAGACTGTCTGTGTCATGGTGAATACAGTCGCTAGCAGTGACGTGCGGTGAGGTTCATGGCTGGTGAGGCACTGACTCACTGAGTCAGATTTACAAATATTATATTTTGACCTTAATCGAAATATTCGGTTATTTTCAAAAGCTTTTTTAGTCTGATGCTTCGATTCATTTTAAACAGACCGTTCAACAAAAGGATACCCAAAATCTAAATATTGGATTGTTCTTTCTTAGTAAGATCCCATTTTCATTACAAATGTGGTCTTACCTTGACTTGAAGATGAAGTCCATGCTATCCTTCTGGACAACAATCTCTATTACTGTTTTGTAAAAGTCCTCTTTATCTTCCTGTAGTTTCAAAAGTCTAGTTTGTTGTTTGCGTCTACCGTCTCTGCGTAGAATAACAGTAGCAACAAGAACCTGTGGGCTCACGTGCCCTTACCCCACAGTAACTGGCTTGAGCGCGCTCACAAAATAAGTGCCCGCGCTAAATTAGTGCCCGTGCTCCAGCAAGTTACTATGGGCTTACGAGAGGCAGAGCTCGTGCCTGCCTCACTTCTCATCGCTCCCGTAGCGGAGCTCGGCACATTTGCTGATTTTGACTATAAAAAGCGATTGGAATCAAACAGAAATCACATTTACACAAGATCAGTGGAGACATTTTATTATTATTACTATTTAGTTTTTCTTTAGTTGTTTTTCCGTTACATTGGAGTATGACAGGTGAGGCTCTGCCTCCACTGACTGCACGTCGCTGGTCGCTAGTTTATTTATGTCTGTATAGGCCGTTGTTGTGAGTGTGGACGGAGCCAATACAACGTTAGCTTATCCTGATCGATCTGATCTCCATTCAGAAAACAAGCATTTTAAAAGGTTTTTCCCCTGCCGTCTGTCTGCAGACTTGTCAAAGCATTAATTCATAGTTTTTACTGACCGGTATCAGTATGTTGTTACTTCGGCATCATTTAGAAACGTGTATTACAATTAAATCACGGTAAAATATGTTCATTTTGTTGTAGTTGTAGCCCACTTGCCAGAGATTCTCTCTGACCATTCAGCAGTCGACAGTGTTTACGTCAATAGTTTAGCATATTCAGCCCGGTTGTTGGCCCGGTAAGAACGTCGATTTTGGAGGGCCAGAAAAAAGGTGAAAAATTAGCCCTGAGCCAGAACTACCCCTAGTGGAAAAGCATAAAAAAGCGGGCTTGGTTTGGCCCGGCCCGCTTAAACCGTGCTACGTGCTGCAGTGGAAAAGCGCCATTAGATACTGAGGACCCTTATGGCGCATTTCCACTACACGGCCTCGCTCGGCCCCGCTCGGTATGGCTGGGCCTCGTTAGGACTGGCTCACTTTATGGCGCATTTCCATTACAGTTTAGGAACTGGGGTAGTATCTATAGTAACGCAGTGTAGGCGGAGCCGTGACGTGATCTTCAGAGAACCCCAGAAAAACAACACAGCCGTTAGCTGTTAGCACTCAGAGCTCACAGCTCCTCATATATGTTCAGAAACTAGACAAAAGTTAAACAAGTACAAACCACAGACTGCCTGTGTCATGGTGAATACAGTCGCTGCTTTATTTATGTCTGTATAGGCCGTTGTTGTGAGTGTGGACGGTCGGAGCATATACTGCGTTAGCTTAGCCAATCTCCATTTAGAAAACACGCATTTTAAAAGGTTTTTCGCCTGCCGTCTGTCTGCAGACTTGACAAAGCATTAATTCATGGTTTTTACTAACCGGTATCAGTATGTTGTTACTTTCGGCATCATTTTGAAACGTGTATTACAATTAAATCACGGTCAAATATGTCCATCTTGTTGTAGTTGTTGCCCCCCTTGCCAGCGACGCTCTCTCTAGTTTAGCATACTCAGCCCGACTCAGCCTCGTTGTCTCTGGCCCTAGACCCACGATTTTATGAGGCCAGAAAAACTGTGAATTAGGACCCGCCGGCCGGTACTAGGCCAAGTGGAAACGCAACCAAAGACGGGCCGCTGACGTCACAGCCCTCTTAAACCGTGCTCCGCGCTGTAGTGGAAACGCGCCATTAGATACAGAGGAACATTATACACTGAGGACCCTCAGATACTGAAGCTTAGATCCTGAGGTCCTCAGATACTGAGGACCCTACTTACCCCCCCCCCCCCCCCCCCCCCCCCCCCAGATGAAGGAGAGGATGAAGGAGGAGGCTTGGAACATCCACTTCTCAGAGTTCGGTCGAGGAGTCTGCATGTACCGGACCTCCAGAACCAGAGAGCTGGTCCTGAACGGGATCCCAGAGAACCTGAGGGGGGAGCTGTGGATGCTGTTCTCTGGTGAGGGTTCACCCATTCATCCATTCATCCACTCATTATTCATCCACTCATTATTCATTCAATCATTCACTCATCCACTCATTATTCACTCATTCATCACTCACTCATTCATCATGTAAGAGGATAGCTGTGGATGCTGTTCTCAGTGTTCACTCATTCACTCCTCACCCTTTCACAGGAGCTCAGAATGAGATGGCGTCCCACCCCGGTTACTATGGCGACCTGGTGGAGGCGGCGATGGGGGTTGGCTCTGTGGTTTCCGTGGTGACGGAGGAGATCGAGAGGGACCTTCATCGATCGATGCCTGAACACCGAGCCTTCCAGAACCAGACGGGCATCTCCGCGCTGCGCCGCGTCCTGACTGCGTACGCCCACCGAAACCCAGGCATCGGGTACTGCCAGGTACTAATACTACATACAGTACTACATACAGGTACTAATACTACATACAGTACTACATACAGGTACTAATACCACACACAGTACTACATACAGGTACTAATACTACATCAAGAGTCCTGACCAGGTACTAATACTACATCAAGAATCATGACCAGGTACTAATACTACATACAGTACTACATCCAGGTACTAATACTACACACAGTACTACATACAGGTACTAATACTTCATCAACTGTTATCCAGTTCAGTTCTTCATCAAGTGTTATCCAGTTCTTCATCAGTGTTATCCAGTTCTTCATCAGTGTTATCCAGTTCTTCATCAGTGTTATCCAGTTCTTCATCAGTGTTATCCAGTTCTTCATCAGTGTTATCCAGTTCTTCATCAGTGTTGTTGTCCTCAGGCGATGAACATCGTCACCTCGGTGCTGCTGCTCTTCTCTCCAGAGGAGCAGGCTTTCTGGCTGCTGGTGGCTCTGTGTGAGCGCATGCTGCCAGACTACTACAACACAAGAGTTACAGGTACATATATATATAATTATATACACTCACCAGCCACCAGTCAGGTACATCTTGCTGGGTTGGACCCCCACAGACTGAAGGAGCTGCATCAGACATGTTGGCATCACACAGCTGCTGCAGATCTGTAGCTCAGAGACGCTCCTCTGCACACCTCCAACCAGGGGTTATTGACTGTTGCCTTTCTATTATATATATATATATATATATATATATATATATATATATATATATATATATATATATATATATATATATATATATATATATATATATATATATATATATAATAAGATGTATGTGATTTGTTCAGGGGCCCTGGTGGATCAGGGGGTGTTCGAGGAGCTGACCAGAGCCTTCCTGCCCCCCCTGTATGAACACATGAGGGATCTGGGGGTGATCTCCACCATCAGCCTCTCCTGGTTCCTCACCCTCTTCCTGTCTGTGATGCCCTTTGACAGCGCCGTGCTGCTGGTGGACTGCTTCTTCTACGAGGGCATCAAGGTCACCTTCCAGGTACAGAGCATCATGGGAGCTGTAGTCCTCAGAGAGCTGTAGTCCTCAAAGAGCAGAGCATCATGGGAGCTGTAGTCCTCAGAGAGCTGTAGTCCTCAAAGAGCAGAGCATCATGGGAGCTGTAGTCCTCAGAGAGCTGTAGTCCTCAGAGAGCTGTAGTCCTCAAAGAGCAGAGCATCATGGGAGCTGTAGTCCTCAGAGAGCTGTAGTCCTCAGAGAGCTGTAGTCCTCAAAGAGCAGAGCATCATGGCAGCTGTAGTCCTCAGAGAGCTGTAGTCCTCAGAGAGCTGTAGTCCTCACAGAGCAGAGCATCATGGGAGCTGTAGTCCTCAGAGAGCTGTAGTCCTCAGAGAGCTGTAGTCCTCAGAGAGCTGTAGTACTCAAAGAGCAGAGCATCATGGGAGCTGTAGTCATCAGAGAGCTGTATTCCTCAAAGAGCAGAGCATCATGGGAGCTGTAGTCCTCAGAGAGCTGTAGTCCTCAGAGAGCAGGGCATCATGGGAGCTGTAGTCCTGAGTTTTGGCAGCTGCTGACATATGTCCCTCTTCCTGCAGGTGGCGCTGGCGGTGCTGCACGACAACATGGAGGCTCTGCTGTCCTGCAGCGACGAGGGGGAGGCCATGACCGTCCTGGGGAGGTGAGGGGAGATCACTGAGGTGGGGGGAGGGGGCTGTTAACACTCATTAGGCTCGTTTGAGATCAGCGAGACCGACGCAGACCTGCGCAATTGCGATCGCCGTCTTGCTAGTGCGTTGCATGATGGTTAGTCATTTTGTCCGACTTGCTCTGGAGGCTCGACTGCATGAGCCGTTGAAATCTCGCGGGACAAAGACGCCGGCAGCCTTGAGAGCGAGGCGGCGCAGTTTCTCTCCACGGGCTGCGGAAGCTAAATGCTTGATGGGAAACGACTCGCTGGTATCTCGAGCTGAGCGCTCATTGGTGGTGTTTACCCCGTGCTGGAGATGAAACTCTCCATTGGCTCGGCAAAAGTGTGTTGTTGTTTTGTGTCAGTTTTACGTCGCCACTTCCATTCACATTTTTCATCATTCATACCCCTCACTGTTTATTCTTCATTCAATTCATTCTATATTTTATTCTGTAGATTGTGTACATTACTTTTCACTTTACTGCTTGTTGCACTCCTGGTTAGAAGCTAAACTGCATTTCGTTGTCTCCTGTAATCTGTGCAATATCAATCAAGTTGAATCTAATCTTGAGCAGGAACAAATGTATTTACTAAATGTACTATTTACATATCTGTACATTAACGATTAAACACATTTGTGCATTCTTTATAAATGCAAACCGAGTCAAGCCGACTCCGAGCTGTCCGACTTTAAGTGTGTGTGTGTGTGTGTAGGTACCTGGATAACGTTGTGAACAAACAGACTGTGGCCCCTCCCATCCCTCACCTCCACGCCCTGCTGACCAGCGGAGACGACCCCCCCCGAGAGATCGACATCTTCGACCTCATCAAGTCCTCCTACGAGGTCAGGATCCGTCTAACTCCTGCAGAGTCTCTCTCTCTAACTCCTGGAGCGGCTCTGTCTAACTCCTGGATGTTGTTTCTTCATCTCTTGCAGAAGTTCGGCAGCCTGCGCTCTGATGTCATCGAGCAGATGCGGTTCAAGCAGAGGTTAAAGGTCATCCAGTCGCTGGAGGACACCGCCAAGAGGAGCGTGGTGAGCTAGCATGCTACAGGCTAACATGCTCACGTGCTAATGTGACACAAACTCACACTGTGTGTGTGTGTGTGTGTGTGTGTGTGTGTGTGTGTGTGTGTGTGTGTGTGTGTGTGTGTGTGTGTGTGTGTGTGTGTGTGTGTGTGTGTGTGTGTGTGTGTGTGGTGTGTGTGTGTGTGTGTGTGTGTGTGTGTGTGTGTGTGTGTGTGTGTGTGTTGTGTGTGTGTGTGTGTGTGTGTGTGTGTGTGTGTGTGTGTGTGTGTGTGTGTGTGTGTGTGTGTGTGTGTGTGTGTGTGTGTGTAGGTGAGAGCGATGATGACGGAGTCTGCATTCAGCATCGAGGAGCTGGAGGAGCTGTACTGTCTCTTTAAGGTAAACTGACTCCTCTAAGCCGTGAGGCTGCTTAACCACCACACATCATGCAATAACCATTCTCACACATACACACACTTTTAATGCACTTTGTATACTATTTTTATATCAATATGTTTAACTATGTATTCCCTCGTATGATTGTTTATGGTGTCTGTCCTATTGCCGTGTTTTTTAGTGTTCTGTATGTGTTTGTATTTTTTGCACTCCGGGACAGAGTTGCACTCTGAATCTCGTTATACTCTGTGTACAATGACAATAAAAGGCTTTAACTTTAACTTAACTTTAACTAAGCACACTAAATAATAAAACAGCTGTTATTGTTATTGCTCCAGATGTTATTGTTATTGCTCCAGATGTTATTGTTATTGCTCCAGATGTTAGTGTTATTGCTCCAGATGTTAGTGTTATTGCTCCAGATGTTAGTGTTATTGCTCCAGATGTTAGTGTTATTGCTCCAGATGTTAGTGTTATTGCTCCAGAGGTTAGTGTTATTGCTCCAGAGGTTAGTGTTATTGCTCCAGAGGTTAGTGTTATTGCTCCAGATGTTAGTGTTATTGCTCCAGAGGTTAGTGTTATTGCTCCAGATGTTATTGTTATTGCTCCAGATGTTAGTGTTATTGCTCCAGATGTTATTGTTATTGCTCCAGATGTTATTGTTATTGCTCCAGATGTTAGTGTTATTGCTCCAGATGTTAGTGTTATTGCTCCAGATGTTAGTGTTATTGCTCCAGAGGTTAGTGTTATTGCTCCAGAGGTTAGTGTTATTGCTCCAGATGTTAGTGTTATTGCTCCAGATGTTAGTGTTATTGCTCCAGAGGTTAGTGTTATTGCTCCAGAGGTGACTGTACTTCCTGTGCAGGCGCAGCACATGGCCAGCTGTTATTGGGGCTCCAGCAGCGGGGCCTCTCAGCGGTTCGACCCCTCCCTCCCGTACCTGGAGCAGTACAGCATCGACCCGCTGCAGTTCTGCCAGCTGTTCCTTGGCCTCGGCCCCTGGGCCTGCGGGGGCCACACCCCCACCCTCTCTGCTCGCCTCTTCAGGGTCCTGGACCAGAACCAGGACGGGCTGCTCAACTTCAAGGAGTTCATCACTGGATTCAGTGAGACTAACACTATACATGCAGTATATACAACATACACTATATATATACACCATACACTATATACACCATACACTATATACACCATATACACTATATACACTATACACACTATATACACCATACACTATATACACTATACACACTATATACTATATACACTATCTACACTATACACTATATACACTATACACACTATATACACTATACACACTATATACACTATACACACTATATACACTATATACACTATATACACTATACACACTATACACTATATACACTACATACACTATACCCACTATATACACTATACACACTATATACACCATATACACTATATACACTATACACACCATATACACTATATACACTATATACACTATACACTATACACACTATATACACTATACACTATACACTATACACACTATATACACTATATACACTATACACTATATACACTATACACACTATATACACTATACACTATATACACTATACACTATATACACTATACACTATACACTATATACACTATACACTATACACACTATATACACTATATACACTATATACACTATACACACTATATACACTATATACACTATACACACTATACACACTATACACTATATACACTATACACTATACACACTATATACACTATACACTATACACACTATATACACTATACACACTATATACTATATACACGATATACACTATACACTATATGCACTATACACATTATATACACTATATACACTATACACTATATACACTATATACACTATACACTATATACACTATACACTATATACACTATATACACTATACACTATATACACTATATACACTATATACACTATTTACACTATATACTATATACACTACACGCACTATACACACTATACACACTATACACTATATACACTATACACACTATATACTATATACACGATACACTATATACACTATACACTATATACACTATACACACTATATACACTATACACACTATACACACTATACACACTATACACTATTTACACTATATACACTATATACACTATACACACTATACACACTATACACTATTTACACTATATACACTATACACACTATACACTATATACACTATACACACTATACACACTATACACTATTTACACTATATACACTATATACACTATACACTATATACACTATACACACTATACACACTATACACTATTTACACTATATACACTATATACACTACACGCACTATACACACTATACACACTACATACACTATACACACTATACACACTATATACACTATATACACTATACACTATACACTATACACACTATACACACTATACACTATTTACACTATATACACTACACGCACTATACACACTATACACACTATACACTATATACACTATATACACTATACACACTATATACACTATACACACTATATACACTATACACACTATACACTATATACACTATATACAGTATATACACTATACACACTATATACACTATACACTATATACACTATACACACTATATACACTATACACACTATACACTATATACACTATATACACTACACACACTATACACACTATACACACTATACACACTATACACACTATACACTATATACACTATATACACTATACACACTATATACACTATACACACTATATACACCATATACACCATATACACTATATACACTATACACACTATATACACTATACACTATACACTATATACACTATACACTATACACACTATATACACTATATACACTTTTCACACTATATACACTATATACACTATACACACTATATACACTATACACACTATATACACTATATACACCATATACACCATATACACTATACACACTATATACACTATATACACTATACACTATACACTATATACACTATACACACTATATACACTATACACTATACACTATATACACCATATACACTATACACTATACACACTATATACACTATACACTATATACACTATACACACTATATACACTATATACACTATACACACTATACACACTATATACACTATATACACTATACACTATACACTATATACACTATACACACTATACACTATATACACTATATACACTACACGCACTATACACACTATACACTATACACACTATACACACTATACACTATATACACTATATACACTATATACATACACTATACACACTATATACACTTTTCACACTATATACACTATACACTATATACACTATACACTATACACACTATATACACTATACACACTATACACACTATATACACTATACACACTATACACTATATACACTATATACACTATACACACTATACACACTATACACTATATACACTATATACACTATATACATACACTATACACACTATACACTTTTCACACTATATACACTATACACTATATACACTATACACTATACACACTATATACACTATACACACTATACACACTATATACACTATACACACTATACACTATATACACTATATACACTATACACACTATACACACTATACACACTATATACACTATACACACTATACACACTATACACTATACACACTTTACACTATATGCACTATATACACTATATACACTATACACACTATACACACTATATACACTATACACACTATACACACTATATACACTATATACACTATATACACACTATACACTATATACACTATACACACTATATACACTATACACTATACACTATATACACACTATATACACTATACACACTATATACACTATACACTATATACACTAACAGGTGTGTGTGTGCAGGTGTTACAGGTGTGTGTGTGCAAGTGTAACAGGTGTGTGTGTGTGTGTGTGTGCAGGTGTGTGTGTGTGCAGGTGTGTGTGTGCAGGTGTAGGTGTGTGTGTGCAGGTGTTACATGTGTTACAGGTGTGTGTGTGTGTGCAGGTGTAACAGGTGTGTGTGTGTGTGTGCAGGTGGGATGTATCACGGGGAAATGACGGAGAAACTCAAACTGCTCTACAAGCTGCACCTGCCTCCAGGTAACACTTTGTTGTTTACCTGTAGTTCACATGATGTTTACCTGCTGTTTACCTGTTGTTTACGTGTTGTTGTTTACCAGTGCCCTGTACTACGAAGCCAGTTCAACTAGTTATCTTAACTAACCCTAACAAAGAGATCTCGCTAAGCGGTCCTACGACGCTGGTTATCAACTCGGTAACTCAAGTTTCTCTGTCCGGCTGAGTGCGCGTTCACGTGAAAGGGCAACATTTGACCAATCACAAACATGGATAAGCGTACTGACAGCGCAGCGTCATACTTCCTGAATGAAAAGTTAACTATAATATAAGACAATATGAAGAAGTTAAACTTTAAACATCCATGACTTAAACACTTTATCCAGGATCAAAGCCACATAGCTGCACCTGCAAGGTGAATACAGCTGGTAACAGAAAAAGTGTTTGAATGCGTTCATTAACAGGTTTATGAAATCACTGCCCCGTCCAAGACACGATCTGACTTTAATTACATTTGACTCGAGTGTTTGGTCAACTTAATGTGTCTTAAAATAATACTTCTGCATACAGTATGTGTATGTATACCCTTCTACGGAGCAGGTTATGTGTTCAGCATAAGTTACCATGGAGATTTACCCCGGTAAGAAGTGAACCAGCGTCGTAGGACCGGAAACCCAGAGTTTTCCTGAAGTTACCTCTCTAACGCAGAGTTAACCTGAAGTTACCTCTCTAACCCAGAGTTAACCTGAAGTTACCTCTCTAACCCAGAGTTAACCTGAAGTTACCTCTCTAACCCAGAGTTAACCTGAAGTTACCTCTCTAACCCAGAGTTAACCTGAAGTTACCTCTCTAACCCAGAGTTAACCTGAAGTTACCTCTCTAACCCAGAGTTAACCTGAAGTTACCTCTCTAACCCAGAGTTAACCTGAAGTTACCTCTCTAACGCAGAGTTAACCTGAAGTTACCTCTCTAACGCAGAGTTAACCTGAAGTTACCTCTCTAACCCAGAGTTAACCTGAAGTTACCTCTCTAACGCAGAGTTAACCTGAAGTTACCTCTCTAACCCAGAGTTAACCTGAAGTTACCTCTCTAACCCAGAGTTAACCTGAAGTTACCTCTCTAACCAAAAAACCTGCTTCGTAGTACAGGGCACAGTTGTATACCTGTTGTTTATGGGGTTGTTGTTTACCAGTTGTTTGCCTGTTGTTTACTTGTTGTTTACCTATTGTTTACCTGTTGTTTGCCTGTTGTTTACTTGTTGTTTACCTATTGTTTACATGTTGTTGTTTACCTGTTGTTTGCCTGTTGTTTACCTATTGTTTACATGTTGTTGTTTACCTGTTGTTTACGTGTTGTTGTTTGCCTGTTGTTTACCAGTTGTTTACCTGTTGTTTACATGTTGTTGTTGCAGCGGTGTGTCCGGAGGAGGCTGAATCAGCTCTGGAGGCGACTCACTTCTTCACAGAGAATGAAGCTGAAGGTAAAGTGTGTGTGTGTGCGTGTGTGTGTGTCTGTGTGTCCTCTTTCTCACACTATGCTGTCTCTCCTCTTCCTCCTCCTCTTCCTCTTCCTCCTCCTCCTCCTCCTCCTCCTTCTCCTTCCAGAACCTTCCTTCCTACCTGCTGTGGGCTCTTTGGGGAAACAGGAAGTGACCTCAGGTGTGTGTGATGTCACTTCAGATGTTTTCATTAATATCTGACGCTTTCACTTTAACTAACCTCGTTGTCATGGTAACGGTGGATGATGCTGATTACTTCCTGTTTCTGCAGGTGAGGAGGACGTAGGAAACGAGGAGAGGAAAAGTAAGCCACGCCCCCTGAGAGAAATATAAGAGTGTGCTATACTATACATCGATATATATATGTATATATATACATATATATATGTATATATGTATATATATACATATATATATGTGTATATATATATATATATATACATACATCTATATATATATATATTTAAGCAATAGCTCACGGCCTGATGTGAGCTATTGCTTTTATAAAACGGTTACCAAGTGTGGCAATATGAAAGAAAAATACACACTCTAATTTAAATAGTTTTTATTAGTAAATAATGATGTTCAAAATAAAATAGTCCCTCCGTTGCCTTCTGCACGAAACATAGTGCGAGGTGGTTGCTAGGCAACAACACTAACAGCTAGCGAACATATTGGACAGAGAGCGTTGATCCATTATTTGGCTATTTATTTACATTAATGTGTATGTTGCCGTTTATTGTGCAGCCACTGAAAACCTGTCCAGCATCAGTAGCATGGCTTACGTGGTTACTTGTATAGGCTGAGGTTGTTCTAGGCTGTTGCTTGGCGTGGCGAGAATATTGCTCCACTTTCTCCGGTCCCCGAGATTGGGCTTCCAGTAGCTCTGGAGAGAGCTTTCGCACCTGTGGCCACTAACGGTCATCATTTCTCTGCTTTGTTTCAAGACCCGCATCAGAAAGCTTTTGAATGGTGGTACTTTTGCAGTTGGTCTACCTGCTCTTCACGTAGCTCTGCATGTCGTCGTTTAGGTGCTTTTTGTTCTGGAGATAGGCACTGCTCCGTTTGAACTACGTAGCAACGGCAGGAACTGCTTCGGCAGGAACTGCTTCGATAGCGTTTTTGCGGACCTTTTTGATTACAGATTTGAAAACATGGTTGCTTGCTTTAAAAGTAGCACAATTCATGATGTCAAACCTTGGGAAGTATCTAGATATCCCTGCCCTAATGCCAAAGGAACTGCACACTGAATATGTTTTGCCGTTTGATGTCTATGTCTGGACCGCTGCGTAAAAAGGAGGGTTTCTGCCCCGTTACTTCTCCGCTGCTTTCTTGTCCCAGTTTGAAAAGCAAACTGCAGGCAGTTTGCTTTTCAGCCCAACTGTATACAGTTTTTCTCAGACGTGGAGGGATACTGACTTGTTGTGAAAAGTAACTACAATTCTACCCGTGTTATACGCTCAGTATATCACGGCTAAGAACCAATCAGATTGCTTGATTTGACTTGTCCGTTTTATAAACGTTCGCTAGCTGCAACGAGCTGGTTAGGGTTAGGGTTATATAGATATGTCACCGTGTACTTGATGATGTCACCGTGTACCTGATGATGTCACTGTGTACCTGATGATGTCACCGTGTACCTGATGATGTCATTGTGTAACCTGATGATGTCACCGTGTACCTGATGATGTCATTGTGTACCTGATGATGTCACCGTGTACCTGATGATGTCATCATGCTGCAGGTCCTGAGGAGAAGGTGAAGGACTACAGGTACTACCTGAGGCTGTGGGCCAAAGAGAAGGAACCAAAGACTGAGACCATCAAAAACCTGCCCCGAATGAACCAGGTAACCCTGTTGTTTACCTGTTGTTAACATGTTGTTCACATGAGGCCTGTACTACGAAGCCGGTTCAACATAACCTGGATATGTTTGAGTTAGCCGGTTGGCCTAATCCAAAACATACGCGCTCTCGCTAAGCGGTCCTACGACGCGGGTTATCAAGTGGATCGCTCAAGCCAGCTTTGTCCGATCTAGTTAGGTGTGCGTTCACATGAAAGGGGTGGTATTTGGAGCATTCGACCAATCACAAACATGGACAAGCGTACTGACAGCGCAGCGCGTCATACTTCCTGAATGAAAAGTGAACTTTAATATTAGACATATGAAGAAGTTAAACTTTAAACATCCATGACTTAACCTGTTACGCACCGCCCCCACGGTACCGGGCGGATAAACGCGTCATTTGCAGGAAACAACGTCTAAGGAATCTTAATATTTAATAAACTATGAATGTTTTATATCCATGTAACGGGAAGAAACTCAGCTAACTGATCTTTTAAAAAAATAAATAAAAAAAAAACCCACAATGCTAACACTCAGCCTCTGAATTAGCCACGTGCGAAAAAATGTAACCTAAAACGGCACCTAAACTCACTCCTAACTCCCTTATTACTTATCCTAGATGCACAGCCAACCCATCGATTAGCATCTACTGGAGACACAGAATCGTTGGGTGCCCACCTCAACACTCAGTGATAAACAGTTGCGACGCTATAAACGAAAGCGTACATCAGAACATGTGGAGCTAGGTAGCTAGAAACGCTAACATGGCTTACCTTGGTCAAAACTGGTCTTCAATGGCATTAAAACGATAAAAAAAACGATGCTGCAGTTAATCCATAGGTTAATCCAATGTGTCTGTGTACTCTTTGAAATGATTTCTGATAATCCATAAGCAATAAAACTGCTTTTTCGTTTCCAAATGCCAGAGCTAGAGATCGGTCCACTCTGCTGCACATTTACATGCGCGCAGCCCCCACCTTTTCTCTTCACAACGTGTGTGTGTGGGGGCCTCCCCCTTCGATTCTATTGGCTCTAATGGTCAGAAAGAGGTGTCAACCATCAAAATCGAGCAAGGGGGGCCAGAGATATGGAAAAAAAAAACATTTTCACCTAAATCACCTCAGAGGTGGGGTGGTTTTGGCTAAACCTCTCTAAAAAGGTCAAATGTCACTTGTTTTGCATCAATCTTGATACAGGGTACTTATTATATTTGTACTTTGGATTCCTAAAGCTTTTAGTCTACTAACCCATCATCCAAGGGTAGTTTTCACTATAAGTAAAAAAAGAATTTTTGAACGGACACTATAATTTACAGTTTTTTACTATGTAAAATCTGAATTTTCTTTAAAATAAAAAACATCTAGATTGTTCTGACACTTCTACATCCAACTCACAGATGTAACCTTGCTTTGATAAAATAAATTATTCATATAACCCTTTTAGAAGTTAAGTTGTAGTCATTTGTTTTGGGCATGTCATTTTCGAGCCTGAAACATGAAAAACAGGCTTGGTGCTTAACAGGTTAAACACTTTATGAAGTTAGCCCGCTAAGCGAAAATCCGGCTTCGTCGTACAGGCCTCTGTTGTTAACATGTTGTTTACCTGTTGTTTACCTGTTATCTGTTGTTTACCTGTTGTTTACCTGTTGTTAAGATGTTGTTAACATGTTGTTTACCTGTTGTTTACCTGTTGTTAACATGTTGTTTACCTGTTGTTTACCTGTTGTTTACCTGTGTAGGAGCAGTTCATCGATGTGTGTAAGACGCTGTACAACATGTTTAGTGAGGATCCAGAGGAGCAGCAGCTGTATCACTCCATCGCCACGGCAGCCAGCCTGCTGCTGAGGATCGGGGAGGTCGGGAAGAGGTTCGGGAACAGGAAGTTAGAGGCCCCGCCCCCTGAGGCCCGGCCCCCTGAGGCCCCGCCCACTGAGGGCCCGCCCCCTGAGGCCCCGCCCCCTGAGGGCCCACCCCCTGAGGCCCCGCCCCCTGAGGCCCCAGGTGAGGCTCAGGTGTGCCGGGCTCTGGAGGACGCTCAGCTGGAAGACGTGTCCTCCTCCGTCTCTCTGCAGGACGAGGACTCTGCTCTGATTGCAGAGCAGAGACAGGGCAGCGAGCTGGATGCTGATTGGTCGATCAGCTTTGAGCAGGTGCTGGCGTCCCTGCTGACGGAGCCGCCGCTCGTCCATTACTTTGAGAGGAAGAGAGACATCCGGAGCAAGATGGCCGTCTGCAAGGCCCAGAGAGCCGTGGAGCGCCAGACAAGCTCCGCCTCCGAGCATGACCTCACACAGCTGTCCCCCTGACAAGCTCCGCCTGCGAGCATGACCTCACACACCTGTCCCCCTGACAAGCTCTGCCTCTGAGCATGACCTCACACACCTGTCCCCCTGACAAGCTCCGCCTCCGACACGACCTCACACACCTGTCCCCCTCACAGGCTCCGCCTCCTCACACAACCTTCACCCTTCTCACCCTTCTCACCTGTACAGTATTATCAGAATGATTCCAGATGTGCTTCGTTATAAAACCGCAGCTCCTCTGAAAGCTTTATATATTAATCATAACCTTTATAACACACACACACACACACCACACACACACACTTTTTTATTAATCATGTCTGACCACCTGAGACTTTTATTTTGAAGTCACTGACGCCTTCGTGATGTTTGTGATGACATCACTGTTGTTTACTTCCTGTTGACGTGATGATGTCACTGTTGTTTACTTCCTGTTGACGTGATGATGTCACTGTTGTTTACTTCCTGTTGACGTGATGATGTCACGGGATGTTTTTAGTATGTCTTTATTCTGCTTTTACGTCCATGTCAGTTGTTGTCTAATAAACAATGAAGTGATGATCTTCTTCTGTGGTGCTTACGTCTCTTCTTCTGTGGTGCTGACTCGTTCACAAACATGAGGGGAAACTAGTGTAATGATAATAAAGTGAAATGATAACAGAAACCAGGCGGTACATAGTTGTTGATTCTAAATTAAATCATTCTTTTATGGTAAATATTTGTATTGATTGAAGTGATACAGGTTCAGTAAAGATATATACACACATGATGACAATCCCACCACTCTCCCACCCACCACCCATTAACCCATTGAGTTACAGGATACAGAGCCCTTTCACAGTCAAATACAGTATTTGCATAATGACATTAGTTCAAGGGGGGCAAAGGAGGAGAACAAAAAAAACCCGAGATAAACACAAAGAAAGAAAATAATGATAATGGCATAGAAAAAGAAAAAATTATGAATCAACTGCTCACTGCTCACCGCTCAATCCAAACTTATTCTTTATCAAGTGGATCTTGTAAGGAGTCACAGAAGTCCAGAAAGGGTTTCCATGTTCTAATAAAGGTGCTAGAGGAGCCCCTGATTGTCTCTAGCTGTAAGAAGTACATAAACATCAAGAAGTGTAGAAAAGGCTATAACCACCTGGGCACTGTTTGGATGCACAGGTCACCTTTGGTGCCAAACCAAAAAGGGCACAGAGCGGGTCAGGCTCAACACGAGTTTTAAACATTTCACTAAAAGATTTAAAAATAAATCTCCAGAAAGTAAAGAGGCTGGGACATACCCAAAACCCGTGTATTAGGTCTGCTGGCTGGCTTCTGCATCGGGGACAAGACGGTTCAACCTCTGGATACATTTGAGCCAATCTGGCGTTAGTTAAATGAGCTCTGTGTACCACTTTCAGTTGTATCAGGCTGTGTTTAGCAGAAGAGGAAGATGTGTGCACCCGGTCCAGGACTGATTCCCACTGGTCATCCGTCAAAGTTCTTTCCAGATCAGAATCCCAAGCAGCTCTTAAATGTTCAATAGGGTGCGGATTGACATTACCAATGAGATCAGAAATCAGTGAAATCAGTCCTCTACAGTCTGACTTCAGTTCGAGGATATGGTCAATATGTGACTTTATGGGCTTATTTGGAAAAGAGCTGAATGTCTTACATACAAAGCTCCTAATTTGTAGGTAACGAAATAAGTGTTTCTAAAGGCCCTGACACACCAGACAGTCACCAGAGAACTCGCCGACACCGACAGTTTCATCGACGAGTTCTCCTGCGTCTTGGCCATGTGTCGCACTGGAACACACCGCAAAGACTTCAGCCGAGCACGTACGAACTGCGCATGCTTGAGTGGCAATAACTCTCCTTACCAGCAGGCGGCGGTAGTGTGTATTCGTCATTCAAAATAGGCAACAACCGGAACAAAGAGAAGAAGAACAGACTGATATAAACAAACAAATAGCGTGTGCGTTCCATTTTCACTCTCGTTCATCGAAAACATGTTTTAGAATATAAAAATACATGAATGATGAAATGAGCACATAAAGTGCAGACATACTATAAAATCACAGTTAATAGACCTGCATCTGATGATCGCAGTGTTCTGGCGGGTGTGTAGTTTATTGAGTCAGCAATGTAGTAATGTATGTAATGTAATAATGGCCACTTCTTGCTAAATTTGCATTTCCATGTGATGCTTTTATCCGAGGCGACTCACAATAGGTAAATGAACAGCAGTAGACAGTATCTCATTTACTTAGACACTGCACTTAAGGACAATGTTGAGGTACTTGAGACTAATCCTGCAACTTTATACTGACAAATAGACCGATGAGATGAAAAACCGGACTTGACCAAACAAATCACGGAGCTCTCAGCAGAGGACAGCCGGGGACGCTCCCGCCAATATCAGAGATGTCCCTGCTATGTGTGGGAGGTAAGAGAGGACATTTAAGGGCTATGTTTGATGTCTTTTAAGTATCACCTGCTGGGGTTTAGCTGCTGTCCTGTGCCTTTTTAAATCGTTTGTTTACGTCCCTCACTTCCGTTTCGCTTCTCATTTGCTAGCTGAACAGCTGATCAGAGTGGTTTCTTGGCCCGATAGCTTGTGTCCGTATTTTGGCCGATTCAACATGTTGAATCGGCCATGTGTCGACCGTGAAAGGTCAAATAAGGCGTGTCACGGCCGAGGGTTCGGGACACACCAAATTGACTTTGGGCGACAAGGAACGCGTTGTCGCCAGACAACCGAAGACGGCCGAATACGGCCTGGTGTGTCAGGGCCTTTAGGTAGAAAGATGCAAATGTGTCTTCAATGTAAATATTATAAATTGATTTAATCCCATTATTAAACCAAACAGTAAAAGCCGGGTCTGTACAGGATGGGGTAAACATGTGGTTTGACTTAACCTGTTAAGCCCGAGAGACCCCGGTACCGGGGCACTGTCGCAACATCTTGCAGAAAACAGTGTCTGAGGGCATGTTCATTTAATAAACTATGAATGTTTTATATCCATGTAACGGGAAGAAACTCATCTAACTGATCATTTTTATTTATTTTTCAAAAGAAAACCCACAATGCTAACACTAAGCCTCTGAATTAGCAACGAGCGAAAAATGCTAACAAATTACTGCACCGAAAATCACTCACAAAACCTTATTATTTATCTCTTCTCTACATCCATGACATCGTTTCACATCGTGAGGTGACACAGAATCGAAGGGTACCCTCATTATCACTCAATTATACGAATTTGCGACGTTATAAGCAAAAACGGACATCAAAACAGGTGACGCTAGGTAGCTAAAAATGCTAACATTTTTACCTTGGCTCTGTAGTCTCTCCAAAGTGGTCTTCAATGGCATTAAAACGATAAAAACGCTGCTGAAGTTAATCCATGGGTTAATCTAATGTGTCTGTGTCCCTTTGAAATGATTTCTGATCATCCATAAGCATTAAAACTGCTTTTCCGTTTCCAGATGTCAGAGCTAGAGATAGGTCCACTCTGATGGAAAATTACATGCGCAAAGCCCCCACCTCTTCTCTTCACAGTAGGCTTGTTTGAGACGAGCTGCGGCTCGCCTCGAAAGTAGACGAGAATAGCCGATCGCAGCCAGGGGAGGTCTCAAAAAGCTCGCACAGCTCGGAGTCGGCTTCCTCTTCTTCTTCTCTCGGTTTTTTGGCGGATTGCAAACAACTTTAAGGTGCATACCGCCACCTCCGGAGTCGGCTTGACTCGGTTTGCATTCATAAAGAATGCACAAATGTGTTTAATCGTTAATGTCAGATATGTACTAAGTAAATACATTTGTTCCTGCTCAAGATTAGATTCAACTTTATTGTTATTGCACAGATTACAGGTACTGATACAACGAAATGCAGTTTAGCTTCTAACCAGGAGTGCATAAAGCAGTAAAGTGAAAAGTAATGTACACAATCTACAGAATAAAATATAGAATGAATTGAATGATGAATAAACAGTGAGGGGTATGAATACACTATATACACAGTAGCCTAGCCTAGTATGAACAGTGTGTTGTATGAATATGCTAAGATATATAAAGTATGACAACGGTAAGCAGTGCAAGTATAGTATAAAATATATAGATATTAATTTCATGATGATAAACATGGTGGAACAATGATGAAAAATGTGAATGGAAGTGGCGACGTAAAACTGACACAAAACAACAACACACTTTTGCCGAGCCAATGGAGAGTTTCATCACCAGCATGCGGTAAAAACCACCAATGAGCGCTCAGCTCGAGATACCAGCGAGTCGTTTCCCATCAAGCATTTCGCTTCCGCAGCCCGTGGAGAGAAACTGCGCCGCCTCGCCGCGCCTCGCCGCGCCTCGCCGCGCCTCGCTCTCAAGTCTGCGGGCGTCTTTGTCCCGCGAGATTTCAACGTCTCATGTAGGCGAGCCTCCAGAGCAAGTCGGACAAAATGACTAACCATCATGCAACGCACTAGCAAGACGTTGATCGCAATTGCGCAGGTCTGCGCAGGTCTCGCTTGTCTCAAACAAGCCTAACGTGTGTGTGTGGGGGACTCCCCATTCGATTCTATTGGCTCTAATGGTCAGAAAGAGGTGTCAACCATCAAAATCAAGCCAGAGATATGGAAAATCCACCCAAATGACCCCAGAAGTGGTTTATTTTTGCTAAATCTCTCTAAAAAGGTCAAATGTCACTTGTTTTGCATCAATCTTGATACAGGGTACTTATTATATGTTGTACTTCGGATTCCTAAAGCTTTTATTCTACCTTACCATCATCCAAGGGTAGTTTTCACTATAAGTAAAAAATAATTTTTGGACGGACACTATAATTTACAGTTTTTTACTATGTAAAATCTGAGTTTTCTTTAAAATAAAAAACATCTATATTGATTCTGACTTTTCTACATCCAACTCACAGGTTTATCATTACTTTGAGAAAAAAGATTATTAATTTAACCCTTTTAGAAGGGAAGATATGGTCATTTGTTCTGGGAATGTCATTTTCGAGCCTGAGACCTGAAAAACAGGCTCAGGGCTTAACAGGTTAATGGGGGAGAGAACAGAAGCCCCCTGTAGTCCAAAGTGCCTCCTGAAGTTAGCTCTTTTGTAAATTAAATGTATAACCCGAGACTTTCCCAAATTGATCGAGGATATCCAGGATATAGGGAAGCGATGAGGCAGGCTTGGATACATATAAAAGCAGGTCATCCGCGTAAAGGGACACCTTCAACTTTTGTCCTGCCCGATCTATGCCTTTGAAATCCTTACATAAACTGAGTTTTGTTGCCAAAGGCTCAATTGCTAGCGCAAAAAGAAGTGGGGAAAGCGGGCATCCCTGTCTTGTACCTCTTCCAAGCAGTGGCGTTTTCTCCTGGAGGCCAAGGGAAGCCAGGCTTCCCCTGTTTTTTCGGATTGTAGTTATAATTTTAATAAATAAATAAAAACACTTCGTTTAGTTTCGGAAATTCTTCTTTGCTGTGTGTTGCTGCCGGCCCGTCTCTCCCCCACTCTCATTGAGTATTTTACAAAGAGTGAAACAGCGCCCCTCTAGATGTTATGGTAAAACAGTAGATTGCACTCACTGTTGCGAGAGGAGGCCAGCCGAAATTGGCTTCCCTTGGTGAAAAAAAATGGAGGGATTGACCAATCAGACGAGGCTCACGTGATGCCCCTGCCAACCTGTGATTAGTCAGAACCATGGCAAGGGAAGCCAGAGGCGGCTGGCTTCCCTTGGCTCACAATCCAATCAAATCGCATCAACTTAGTGGTGCAGTGACGCTTTTCTAAATCCTAGCTTTTCTAAATTGCTAGGATTTAGAAAAGCTTGTCCATGCTTTTATTTCCAGTAGACTGGACTGCTGTAATGGTGTCTTCACAGGTCTCACTAACACATCCATCAGAAAGCTGCAGCTGATTCAGAACGCTGCTGCTCGAGTCCTCACTGACACTAAAAGAGAGGATCACATCACTCCGGTTCTGAAGTCTTTACACTGGTTCCTCACTGACACTAAGAGAGTGGATCACATCAGTCCGGTTCTGAAGTCTTTACACTGGTTCCTCACTGACACTAAGAGAGTGGATCAGTCCGGTTCTGAAGTCTTTACACTGGTTCCTCACTGACACTAAGAAAGTGGATCACATCAGTCCGGTTCTGAAGTCTTTACACTGGTTCCTCACTAACACTAAGAGAGTGGATCACATCAGTCCGGTTCTGAAGTCTTTACACTGGTTCCTCACTGACACTAAGAAAGTGGATCACATCAGTCCGGTTCTGAAGTCTTTACACTGGTTCCTCACTGACACTAAGAAAGTGGATCACATCAGTCCGGTTCTGAAGTCTTTACACTGGTTCCTCACTAACACTAAGAAAGTGGATCACATCAGTCCGGTTCTGAAGTCTTTACACTGGCTTCCAGTCGACCAAAGGATTGATTTTAAAATACTATTGCTAGTTTTTAAATCACTAATGGGGCATTTCCACCATGGCGCGGAGCGCGGTTTAAGCGTGCCGTGTCGTGCCGGGCCCGTTTTTGGTTGCGCTTCCACTAGGCCTAGTTCCGGCCCGGAGGCCACCTTTTCACCTTTTTTCTGGGCTGACAAAATTGTGGTTCTATCGAGGCCAACTAGCGGGCCAACAACTGGGCGGAATATGCTAAACTAGTGACGACTGCTGATTGGTCAGAGAGAATCGTCACAATTCTTGCGCGAGTTAATCCCTAGCGTCGCATATATTGGGACGCTTGCAGCATTTTTGAAAACAGAGAAGCTAAAAGACGAAATGGCAAAGAAAAGCACACCGTGGTCGATTGACGAAGTTACGACGTTCCTCCAGATTATAGCAGATGATAAAATCCAGCGGGAGCTCGACGGCACAACTCGCAACCTAAACGTTTTTCAGGAGGTCTCTGCACTGTTGTCTGAACGCGGATTCTCAAGGACTTTCCAGCAGTGTAGGGACAAACTGAAAAAGCTTGAGTATAGAGCCGTCAAGGACCACAACGGCCGGAGTGGTTCAGATAGGAAAAGCTGGAAGTGGTTCGACCTGCTGGACGCTATTTATGGCCATAGACCAGCCAACGTTGGGAGGGAGGGAGGCCTGGACTCTGCAACCGCATTACTGGAGTCCCTGCATTGTAAGCCTTTGCTAACGCTCTGTTATTTGCTTGAAAGCGTTGTGTCCCTATCTATTCTAAAGCTCACTTCTAACAAACAAGTCTATTTTATCCTTACATTTATGTTCTACAACCCATGCTTTTATGACCGAGGTATATAAACGATCTCCTGCATATGAACCATCCAGGAGTCTCAGGTCCTCTGGGACGGGTCTGCTCTCTGTTCCAAGAATAAGAACTGAACATGGAAAAGCAGTGTTTAGCTATTATGCCCCGACTAAGCAGGGTTGCCAACTCTCACGCATCTGGCGTGTGACACACGCTTTCACTCTCAATCTCACGCTCTCACGCTGCCCAAACTATTCCTACGCCAAAAACAAGAATACCGAAGACTAGAAACGGTTTTGAAAACTTTTGTCACGTAGTGATCGTCTTCTCAATAGAACATCTTTGATAATGTCTTCTGGCCAATCAGAATCACGATAACAGCGTTGCAGGAAGTCCCGACGGAGAATACTTTTGCGGTAGTACATCTCTATACATCGATACAACATTACGTGTTGATAGAAATCAACACGTAATGAAATAAGACCCCACGGTTTGATGATTGATAGGTGTGTGGGCTGTCTTTCATTTTGACACACAGAACAATGGGGGCTATCCACCCTTATCCACACAGCCTCTTCCCTCTTCTCTCTGTGAGGAGCAGCAGGTTCAGCTTTCAGAACAAAGTAACAAAAAACTAATATGGCATTCATTTTTTTAAATATGTCGTGTAGTAATAGATTTATTTATTTTTCTTCTCAAGAGAGTACCAGAATGTGTATTTTATGTTAGTATTTCAAAAAATCTCCTGGGGGAAAATCCCCCCAGACCCCCCTGCAGGGGTTGGGTGTTCAGCATGTCAACTCTTTCACCTGTGGGGAAATTGCAGGATTGGCTCCAGGTCGCCCTTTTTATTTTCTACAAGACAAATGTGCCTTTTTATTTCATACATTTCAATTTGGATTGAGACAGGGAAATAATCTAAACCTTACGCGTGGCGTTTCACTGTCGGGGGGAGCGTGTATGTAATTACATTGCAAATACTGATTTGAGCCCCACCACTGTATGGGTTAGCCCTACCATAGATTACCCAACAAAAATACTCTGGAGCCGCAACTGCCGACCCGTATTGCGCATGTGCAGATCTAAGATCCAGTAGAAATGATAAAAAAGTAAAAGTCTGCTGCTTATTGTTCTACTAGGCCAAAATAGAGTCAAAGAGTATATGAGAGTGAGAGTGTGTTAATTAATATATTTGGCAGTTTGGAGTAAGTCTGTAGATTTGTTTGTGTGTGTGTGTTTCATGTATAAGGCCTCTCACGATAATTAATTTTGTTGGATAAATTTTCCCGGAAATTATTGCGATAAACGATAATATTGTCGGCACCGTTGTATGACCATTTTAGACCACTGACATAATGATAATATATAATAATAATTCAAGTACATCCTTTCAAACTGCGAGTCACATCCTCATGTAAATGGCAATTTATCGAGGTCAGAAAAGTTATCGAGTTCATTTTTATTTATCGTACGATAAGTCAATTAATTGCTTATCGCGACAGGCACACAATAAAACAGTGGAAACAAACATGTTTGACTTTCATTGGTGAATGAAACTGTGTGCCCTTTATACTGTAGTCTGTGTCCATTATTGTGTATTTGTATATGTTGTATATATATCCTATGCTATGGTCCCGCTGTTGACACGATAGCAGTCATTTCGTGCGCATATGTGCAATTAAACCGAATTAAACCCATGATATCAAAATCTCACTCCAGCCAGGTACCCAAAGTTGGCAACCCTACGACTATCTGGAACAAACTGCCCGAATCGTGCACGTCTGCTGAAACACTTCCTATTTTCAAATCCAGACGGAAAACATATCTATTTGCCGCTGCTTTTAATTGAGCTGTTCTTTTTTATGCCTGTTGTTAAATGCCATTTAATAATGTGTTTCTGCTGTATTTATTCTTAAATGTCTTTTGTTGTTATTTTGTAAAGCACTTTGAGTTGTCACGTGCTGAAAGGTGCTATATCAATAAACTTGCCTTGAAAAGTAGATGAATATATTTAATATAAAAAGCACTATTGTTTTAATGTATATTAATACAGGTTTATTATTGTTATTGTTCTTATCTGAGCTCCTCTCTGTTGCTGCGACACGATTTCAGGTTGATATTGAACAGCTGTTCAGGAAACTGCATCAAATCATAAACCGGAAACTGCTCGGCTCGGCTGAGACGTCAGTGTCACGTGGGTGTGACGCGTCAGTATCACGTGTCACGGCGGTTCAAACTGAAAACATTCAGAACCATGGGTCAAGAGTTCCTCGTGCTCCGGTGTTTCACCTGTCAGAGCTTCCAGGTCCAACAGGTAACACACACACGCACACACACACACGCACGCACACGCACACGCACACACACACACACACACACACACACACACACACACACACACACACACACACACATAAATAAAGGAAACACGCCATCTCACACACATTTGAATCTTCTTCTTCTGGGGTTTTCAGAGGCGGCTTCACCGCCCCCTACTGGATAAATAATAAACTGCCTTTTCAGAAAAACACTACAATAACTAACGGAAAACACTAATACAAATACATAAATACATATAAAAAGGGGAGATTAACTAAACTAAAAGTCCTGATATAATCTCTCCTTTCTTTGGCTTTTCTTCCTCATTTAGATTCTCTTGGATCAATTCTTTATTTTCATCTAATTTTCTCTCTTTGGGCAATGCTTGGGGGTCTGGTGGGGGTCTCGTGGGAGTCTGGTGGGTGGATGTAGTGATTAAGTGCATAATATAAATGAAACGTTGATCTTTATCATTGAACACTTTGCCCTGTGCTGTGTCTGTCAGGTGAAGAAAGTGAACAAGTGGACCTGTAAGCTGTGTGGAGAGAAACAGTCTCTGCTAAAGGTTAGCATCACTCATTCACTCATTCATTCATTCAGAGTGTGAAGCTGACTATTGAGCGGCCCGACCAAGCAGGGAGAGCGAGAGCGACCACTGCTCCCAAGCCCTGTTGTTTCCATTTTATTTTCTGTTAAATAAGGTTAGTTAGACCATGAGTTAGAGCCGAGTCTTCCTGACAGATCACAGTGTGCCGCTGCCCGGTGTAATTCAAATGTGCTGCCGCGCGCAGCACAGACACACAGCTGCTGCCCAGCCGCAGCACAGACACACAGCTGCTGCCCAGCCGCAGCACAGACACACAGCTGCTGCCCAGCCGCAGCACAGACACACAGCTGCTGCCCAGCCGCAGCACAGACACACAGCTGCTGCCCAGCCGCAGCACAGACACACAGCTGCTGCCCAGCCGCAGCACAGACACACAGCTGCCGCAGCACAGACTCACAGCTGCTGCCCAGCCGCAGCACCAGAAATGGAACTGCTGGGAGAAAAGCTGACTATCAGAGATGTAACGTTATCTTTGATAATATTTCGTCTCCTCATTTTTCGTCAACGAAAGTAAAGAGAGACTTTGGCATTGTTTTTATTTAGTAAACTACATTTTCGTCTCGTCACCTTTCGTCAACGATATTGCATGTTGATTTCGTTACAGTTATTGCTTACTGCCGTCGGTGCATTCTCGTCATCGTCTCGTTTTCGTCATGGAAAAAAAGGTCGTTGACGAACATATTTCGTCATAGTTTTAGTCAACGAAATTAACACTACATGATACACAGCCTGAATATGACTGTCTCCCGTGAACACAGTCACCAGCAGCAAGGACCTCACACACACACCCAGGCCCTTTCTCATTTCATCAATTCCCCCTCCTCGACTCCTCGACTCCTCGGTCCTCCGGTAGTGACCCGGAAATGAATTTTAGCGCGCCATGTTGAAGGACATCTCATTTCTCTAAATGCACATCGAGGACCGAGCATCGAGCGTCGAGGAGGCTCTCTGGAGGAGCTATAACCGAGGATACACTGATGGGTCCTCCACGGTCCTCCACGGCTCCTTCGTGGATGCATTTCCGGCAACAGTGATGTTTCAAAGAGTCGTGACGCACGGCCGGACTGATCTCAGCCAATCACAGCTCTGCATGCATCCCCTGGATATTATTTTATTAACTGCTTTCATCGCGACGCGATGTTTACAGTGAGAACAGCTGTGAGGTCCGTGCAGAAAGCAGAGCAGTGTGTATAATATATATCATATCACTCAGTATAACAGGCCTACTCTCTTTATTTGCTTTAGTTTAGTAGATATCTACAAACAAAGTCGATATTTTTCTAAAACCATTTAGTGCTTCACAAAATAAAATACACAACGGCTGTAGCCTGATTATATGCTTTAGGAGCTGTAGGTGTGTGTGTGTGGTGTAGGTGTGTGTGGTACAGTGTGTAGGTGTGTGGTACAGTGTGTAGGTGTGTGTGTGGTGTAGGTGTGTGTGGTGCAGTGTGTGCGTAGATGCAGCGGACAGACAGGTCTCAGTTGGTTTGGTGTCCTCTGCTTACTTTTAATACTTGTAAATAAAACTTTTGGCCCGTAATTTATTTTCCTCATTCTAGCGACCAGAGAGGGGAGAGGGGGGGGGATATATCCAGTCTCTGATAGTGTTACGTAGGGCTGCTCGATTATGGCAAAAATCATAATTACGATTATTTTGGTCAATAATTGATATCACGATTATTAAATACGATTATTCATTGACTTTGAAAACATCCATTTATTGAACTTTAAAAGCAATACAAAAATAAATGATACATTTAAATAAATAATATCAAAATAATAAATACCAATAAACAAGATCAACAAATATTTTGGAGCGCACTTCCACAAGCTACTAAACATATATAAATATGATAAATACAAATAAATGAGACCAAAATTAATTAGATCCAATATGTTGCACTGTCACAACCAAGCAAAGCAAAATAATTGTTTTTTTCGATGATGTCGTTTTCGTAATTGTGGCAGGCCAAAATCGTAATTGCGATTAAAATACGATTAATTGCACAGCCCTAATGTGACGTTATTATGAGAGTGCTCTCATACTTGTTTGATTCTGAAATTGTATATATTTATATAAGTGTGTGTGTGTGTGTGTGTGTGTGTGTGTGTGTGTGTGTGTGTGTGTGTGTGTGTGTGTGTGTGTGTGTGTGTGTGTGTGTGTGTGTGTGTGTGTGTGTGTGTGTGTGTGTGTGTGTGTGTGTGTGTGTGTGTGTGTGTGTGTGTGTGTGTGTGTGTGTGTGTGTGTGTGTGTGTGTGTGTGTGTGTGTGTGTGTGTGTGTGTGTGTGTGTGTGTGTGTGTGTGTGTGTGTGTGTGTGTGTGTGTGTGTGTGCGCGTGCGCATCTGTAGCCTGTTATTGTCTCATTATACCACACTGTGAATGAATCAAAGTAAATATATAAGTCATCATGAACACATCTGTCCATCAGACAGAGGGCTTAATGGACGTCTCTTTAAAATGACCGCTCAGAGGAGAGGAGTTCTCATTTCTCTAACCGCCTGCTGCTTCCGCTCCTCTCTCCTCGGCTCCCCTCCTCTCTCCTCCGCTCCCCTCCTCCGCTCCTCCGCTCGCATCTCCTGTGGGCGGGACTAAGTCTCGAGGATAGGAGTCGAGGAGGGGAGTCGAGGAGGGGAATTAGCGAAATGAGAACGGGCCCCAGACTAACAGGAAAACAGAACCTAAATACACACAGGACCAATCAAACCAACAAGACACAGGTGAGGGGGGAGGAGACGACACAGGGCACCAGGTGAACACAATCACCAGCAACAGACAAGACGGGAGGGGGAACACTTTTCAAACTAAAACAGGAAACAGAGACAGACAAACTAAAACACAGACAGATCGCGACAAACCGATGCACAAATTACATACAACCACACGCTTCCTGTGCAACGTTGCAGGGCGGAACAAATCAATACACTTCGCCAACAACGAAGCTCCGTAACGGAGGCCGAGATCTATGGCCCCAAAGATCACCTCCGTTACACAGAGAAACAGTCTCTGCTAAAGGTTAGCATCACTCATTCACTCATTCATTCATCCATTCAGAGAAACACGCTAGCAAGTGTGCAGGTGTGCATCATATGAGAGGCCCCGCCTTACATTTTCCGCCAAAGATTTTGGAAATTGGTCCGTGCGCAAAGCATTGTGGGGATTTTAAGACCGCGGAGTCTACACATGTGCAGCCTCGATATTTCTCCAAACGGAGTACGCCAGGCTCGGTAGATTTCCAAGTATGCTGGAGATTGGAACAGTACTTCGGCGGCACTCGATGACGTAGTATGCTTGAAATAGTGGCTCTGAAGCAGCTTTACTCGACATTGAGAAACACCCACAGTCTCTGCTAAAGGTTAGCATCATTCATTCATTCATTCAGAGAAACGTCATTCTGTCAGTTGACCCCTGACTGTGCTCTGATTGGCTGGCAGGAGTTTGGGCGGGGCTCCGGGGCCGACTGCAGACGTCACGTTCAGAAACTGAATGCCATGAGAGGAGCCAAGATGGAGGACCAGGAGCAGCACACCTTGTCACTATGGTAACCAGCCTATCCCATAATACTCCTCACCTGTCCGTCACCTGCAGGAGATCTAAAGCTAAAACTGCTGAGTCACTGTTTGAATGTTTCTAACAGGAAGCAGGAGGGAGAGGAGGAACCTGAGGAACAGGTGAACACACACACACACGAACACACACACACGAACACACACACACGAACACACACACACGAACACACAGAGACACGAACACACAAACATGAACACACACACACGAACACACACACACGAACACACACACACGAACACACACACACGAACACACACACACACGAACACACACACACACACACGAACACACACACACACACACACACACACACACGAACACACAGAGACACGAACACACAAACATGAACACACACACACAAACACACACACGAACACACACACACACACACACACGAACACACACACACACACAGAGACACGAACACACAAACATGAACACACACACACGAACACACACACACACACACACACACACACACAGAGACACGAACACACAGACATGAACACACACACACGAACACGAACACATGAACACACACACACACTAATGCTCCTCTCCTCCTCCAGGTGGGCCGGCCTCAGGTGAGCAGCTGGAGTAAATACCTGGACACACCTGAGGAGGCAGGGCCAAAGGAGGAGGATGTTTTGATGGACAGCCAGCAGCTCCATGTCAACAGCATGATTGACAGGTGACGGTGGTTTAAATGATCTGATACAGCATCATGCCCACCGTACTGTGGGGCAGTGTTATGATCTGATGCACCGTACTGTGGGGCAGTGTTATGATCTGATGCACTGTACTGTGGGGCAGTGTTATGATCTGATGCACCGTACTGTGGGGGCAGTGTTATGATCTGATGCACTGTACTGTGGGGCAGTGTTATGATCTGATGCACTGTACTGTGGGGGCAGTGTTATGATCTGATGCACTGTACTGTGGGGGCAGTGTTATGATCTGATGCACTGTACTGTGGGGCAGTGTTATGATCTGATGCACTGTACTGTGGGGGCAGTGTTATGATCTGATGCACTGTACTGTGGGGGCAGTGTTATGATCTGATGCACTGTACTGTGGGGCAGGGTTATGATCTGATGCAGCATATATTAAACCATATAAACAGTCTGTGTTTATAAGATGTGATTCTGAATCCAGGAAGCTGCTTTTAGTAAGGTCTGTGATGTTTGACAGGAAGAGGAAGAGAGGAGGTCAGGAGGACAGGACACCTGGACAGGTAACATGCTGACATCATCAGTTATTATCTCAGGTCCTATCAGAGTGTTTCTGCTTTAAAGACCTTCTTTGTGTGTGCAGTCCAGCTTCAGGAGGAGACCCTCTGACCCTCTGACCAGTGAGGAGAGCCTGGATCCTGCTGGTTCCCTCAGTGTTGACTGGCAGGTGGGCGGAGCTTCCTCTATGATCAGTGAGACTCCGCCCCCCACTAGGCCCCTTCCCCTACGTCCTGTTTCCTCCATGTTTGACAGCGGAGAGGATTTCAGTTTGGATTTATAAACTGTTTATGTGTATCACTCTGAGTCTGTGTATCACTCTGAGTCTGTGTGTCACTCTGAGTCTGTGTGTCACTCTGAGTCTGTGTGTCACTCTGAGTCTGTGTGTCACTCTGAGTCTGTGTGTCACTCTGAGTATGTGTATCACTCTGAGTCTGTGTTTCACTCTGAGTCTGTGTGTCACTCTGAGTCTGTGTGTCACTCTGAGTCTGTTTGTTTATCACTCTGAGTCTGTGTGTCACTCTGAGTCTGTTTGTTTATCACTCTGAGTCTGTTTGTTTATCACTCTGAGTATGTGTATCACTCTGAGTCTGTTTGTTTATCACTCTGAGTCTGTGTGTCACTCTGAGTCTGTTTGTTTATCACTCTGAGTCTGTGTTTCACTCTGAGTCTGTGTATGTGTATCACTCTGAGTCTGTGTATCACTCTGAGTCTGTGTATCACTCTCAGTCTGTGTATGTGTATTACTCTGAGTCTGTTTGTTTATCACTCTCAGTCTGTGTATCACTATTAGTCTGTTTATCACTCTCAGTCTGTGTATCACTCTCAGTCTGTGTATCACTCTCAGTCTGTGTATGTGTATTACTCTGAGTCTGTTTGTTTATCACTCTCAGTCTGTGTATCACTATTAGTCTGTTTATCACTCTCAGTCTGTGTATCACTCTCAGTCTGTGTATCACTCTCAGTCTGTGTATCACTCTCAGTCTGTGTATGTGTATTACTCTGAGTCTGTTTGTTTATCACTCTCAGTCTGTGTATCACTATTAGTCTGTGTATCACTCTCAGTCTGTGTATCACTCTCAGTCTGTGTATCTCTGTCTGTATCACTCTCAGTCTGTGTATCACTGTCTGTGTATCACTCTCAGTCTGTGTATCACTCTCAGTGTATCACTCTCTGTCTGTGTATCACTCTCAGTCTGTGTATCACTGTCTGTGTATCACTCTCAGTCTGTGTATCACTGTCTGTGTATCACTCTCAGTCTGTGTATCACTCTCTGTGTATCACTCTCTGTCTGTGTATCACTCTCAGTCTTGTATTGGCCATTTCTTATGTTACCTTATATGGTAAAACCAAATCTTCTAAAAAACATTGTCTACACCACTGTACCATTTTGCTGATATGTGCCGTTTCCTGTGCATGCCCCTATAAGGGTTCAAGGCCACAGGGCTGATGTTGAAACTACTCCTCACACAAATGTTCAACTTCCATATCTTGTTTTCTGTCACACCACATGTGATTTATAGCGATATGAGACATCTGTGTGAAGCCAGATGTCTGAGCTAGCTACACTAAACTCTGTCTGCCCTATCCTGTATATAAACTTCGCCATTCTGTGACTACTGTGTGCACTCCTGCAGACTACTCTGTACTCTGAGACCTGTACCTTTGAAGCAAATAAAGAACCAACGAAGACTACTCTGTACTCTGAGACCTGTACCTTTGAAGCACATAAAGAACCAACAAAGACTACTCTGTACTCTGAGACCTGTACCTTTGAAGCACATAAAGAACCAACAAAGACTACTCGGTACTCTGAGACCTGTACCTTTGAAGCACATAAAGAACCAACAAAGACTACTCTGTACTCTGAGACCTGTACCTTTGAAGCACATAAAGAACCAACCAAGACTACTCTGTACTCTGAGACCTGTACCTTTGAAGCAAATGACTTCACTGGTGAAGAGGTCGCAGTAGAAGTCCACCGCTCTCTGCCGGATCTGGCTGTTTCCTGTCAGCTGCTGACCTCAGAGCGTGGATCAGCCTGCCCTGCCCGTTCTTCTTCTCCAGACTGAAGAAGTACTTTGTGGGTGAATCCATCAGGGAAGCGCTGATTTCTCTCTATCTGTTTCTCTCTCTCTCTGTTTCTCTCTCTCTCTGTTTCTCTCTCTCTGTTTCTCTCTATCTGTTTCTCTCTCTCTGTTTCTCTCTCTCTCTGTTTCTCTCTCTCTCTCTCTGTTTCTCTCTCTCTCTGTTTCTCTCTCTCTGTTTCTTTCCTCGCTCCTCGGTCTTGGTCTCACCGGAAGTTGATTTGTCTGCGCCATCTTGAGTAGCGTCCCAATGGCCTTATTTTTGCCGGAGGAGCGATAACCGAGGAACCACCAGACCATCCTTCGATGAAATCCTCAGATACTCGCCCCGCCCCCTTACTGTGTATCGCTCACTGATTGGACGATGCAGTGCATGCAATGATCTGATGCTTCTTGACATGAGAGCAGTTTCCCAGCGGAGTGAAGAAAACACATGAAACTCCTCAGTTTATACTGTGTTTTGTTTCAATGAATGCATCATTCAGTTACATATGTGATTTATCTGAACAACAAAGTGGACAAAGATAATTTTATTCATTTATTGGAAACATTTTCATGATCGCTTTTTACATTTTCATTTGTCATTTCCATTCAGTCAGTCATTAAGCGCTATTTAACATGTTAATTTGCTACATATTCACACAAACAAACTAAGTGTGCAATCCAATGAATGTGAATCTAACTGGGTATGATAGATAACATATCTCTCTTTCTTCTCTGAGTTATTTTATTTCTATTGTACACTAATCAATATTAATCAAACTATTGTTCGTTTATACATTTTAAGAATGGCGTTTATCTTTTTTGAGAATGAGTTCTTATTTTATTTAATGTATTTGGGTCTACAACAGATGATACAAATGTTTGTGGAGGAAAGGACGTCCCATTGCTCTTTAAACTCATTTCCCTGCTTCTCGTGGTTTCCTTGCGTCTCTCCATGCTTCCCTGGTGGCAGGGACTAAACGCAGGGAAATGACGCAAGTGAGGGACGCAAGGAATCCATTTAACCGAAGTGAAACGCAGCCTAAGTCTCGAGGATAGGAGTCGAGGAGGGGAATTAGATAAATGAGAAAGGGCCCCGGTCTGTGTATCACTCTGACCCTGTTTGTTTGTTTGTGTGTGTTCCTAAAGTGCATTAAAGTGTTGATCTCAGCAGTACAGATTGTTTATTCTTGTTGACAGCAGCATCATGTTTCTGTGATAAAAAAACATCCGGAGTCTGGGCCTCAAGTTTTATTCAGATTCATAAAGCAGGACAAAGAGCAGTGAGACAGAGGGCGTATCAAATCAGAGAAAGTACAAATCAATCAGAAAGTACGTATCAATCAGAGAAAGTACGTATCAATCAGAGAAAGTATATATCAATCAGAGAAAGTACAAATCAATCAGAGAAAGTATGTATCAATCAGAGAAAGAACAAATCAATCAGAGAAAGTATGTATCAATCAGAGAAAGAACAAATCAATCAGAGAAAGTACGTATCAATCAGAGAAAGAACAAATCAATCAGAGAAAGTACGTATCAATCAGAGAAAGTATATATCAATCAGAGAAAGTACAAATCAATCAGAGAAAGTATGTATCAATCAGAGAAAGAACAAATCAATCAGAGAAAGTACGTATCAATCAGAGAAAGTATATATCAATCAGAGAAAGTACAAATCAATCAGAGAAAGTATGTATCAATCAGAGAAAGAACAAATCAATCAGAGAAAGTATGTATCAATCAGAGAAAGTATATATCAATCAGAGAAAGTACAAATCAATCAGAGAACATATATATCAATCAGAAAGTACGTATCAATCAGAGAAAGTACATAGAGAAAGTATATATCAATCAGAAAGTACGTATCAATCAGAGAAAGTATATATCAATCAGAGAACATATTGATTAGATAAAGTATATATTAATTAGACAGTCTATATATCTGAGCCGTTGAGGTTAATATGAACGAGAAGATGATTGGTTACTATATCAGAGTGACCTCAGAGGACAGGAAGTGGCTGCAGGATCTGAATCTGGTTTAACAGATGACGTCAGCAGTGACATGACGTAATGATGACATCACGGTGACATCATCAGGTTCTGTGTGGGGGGGGCTGGAACTGGATGGCGTCGAGGGCGGCGCCGATATCGAAGTCTTTGGCCCGAAGGAGACGAGTGAGCCAGCCGCCCTCATCTGAGAAACCCATCGCCAACATCTGGGAGAGGGTCTCCATCTGGCGGGGGTCTGACAGAGAGACAGGTAGTTAGAGAGACAATACATCTGGGAGAGGGTCTCCACCTGGCGGGGGTCTGAGAGACAGACAGGTAGAGAGAGAGACAGGTAGTTAGAGGGACAGTACATCTGGGAGAGGGTCTCCACCTGGCGGGGGTCTGAGAGAGAGAGAGACAGGTAGAGAGAGACAGGTAGAGAAAGAGACGGACAGAGAGAGAGACAGGTAGAGAGACAGGTAGAGAGAGAGACAGGTAGAGACAGACAGGTAGAGACAGAGACAGGTAGAGAGACAGGTAGAGAGAGAGACAGGTAGAGAGACAGGTAGAGAGAGAGACAGGTAGAGAGAGAGACAGGTAGAGAGAGAGACAGGTAGAGACAGACAGGTAGAGAGAGAGACAGGTAGAGACAGACAGGTAGAGACAGACAGGTAGAGAGAGAGACAGGTAGACAGACAGGTAGAGAGAGAGACAGGTAGAGAGAGAGACAGGTAGAGAGAGAGACAGGTAGAGAGAGAGACAGGTAGAGAGAGAGACAGGTAGAGAGAGAGACAGGTAGACAGACAGGTAGAGAGAGAGACAGGTAGAGAGACAGACAGATAGAGAGACAGGTAGAGAGACAGGTAGAGAGACAGGTAGAGAGACAGACAGATAGAGAGACAGGTAGAGAGACAGGTAGAGAGAGAGACAGGTAGAGAGAGAGACAGGTAGAGAGAGACAGGTAGAGAGAGAGACAGGTAGAGACAGGTAGAGACAGGTAGAGGTAGAGAGACAGGTAGAGAGACAGGTAGAGAGACAGGTAGAGACAGGTAGAGAGAGAGACAGGTAGAGAGACAGACAGATAGAGAGACAGGTAGAGAGACAGGTAGAGAGACAGGTAGAGAGAGAGACAGGTAGAGAGACAGGTAGAGAGACAGGTAGAGAGACAGGTAGAGAGAGAGACAGGTAGAGAGACAGGTAGAGAGACAGGTAGAGAGACAGGTAGAGAGAGAGACAGGTAGAGAGACAGACAGATAGAGAGACAGGTAGAGAGAGAGACAGGTAGTCACCTTGGGGCATGTCAGGGTACAGAGCCGCCTCCCTCAGACCTGTTGGACCCTGCTGTCCAGACGAGGGAGCCTGGTTCTGAGCCTGGACCTGGTTCTGAGCCTGGTTCTGAGCCTGGTTCTGAGCCTGGTTCTGAGCCTGGACCTGGTTCTGAGCCTGGTTCTGAGCCTGGACCTGGACCTGGTCTGTAAGGTCTTTGTCCTGGTTCTGGCCCTTGCCTTGGTCCTGTTTCTGGTTCTCATCCGGGTCCTGTTCTGGGTCCTGTTTCTTGTCCTGGTCCTGGTTCTGGTCCGGGTCCAGGTCCTGGTCTGGGTCCAGGTCCCCGGGTTGGAGGGACTGCAGCTCTCCGCTGGACGGGTCGACCTCTCGGGGGTTCAGGTGAGTCCACTCCTCATCAGAGTCTCTGCACACCTGCAGAGCAAAGACTGGGTCACTGGTAGAATTGGACTGAGATCAGAATTGGACTGGGATCAGAACTGGACTGGGATCAGAACTGGACTGGGATCAGAACTGGACTGGGATCAGAACTGGACTGGGATCAGAACTCAGTGGATAGTGTGCTGTACTTCAAATCAGGGGGTAACAGGTTCAAACCCCACTGCAGTCAGCATGTCGTTGTGTCCCTGAGACACTTCACCCCAAACTGCTCCTGTGGGGATTGTCCACAGTATTGAGTATGTAAGTCGCTTTGGATAAAAGCGTCTAACAAGTGACGTGTAATGTCACGTCATGTCATGTAATGTCACGTAATGTCATGTCATGTAATGTCACGTAATGTCATGTCATGTAATGTAATGTCACGTCATGTAATGTCACGTCATGTCATGTAACGTAATGTCACGTCATGTCATGTAACGTAATGTCACGTCATGTAACGTCATGTAACGTCATGTAACGTCATGTCATGTCACGTAATGTCATGTCACGTAATGTAACGTCATGTCCAGGGGCGTCGCCTGGACCTGAAAACATTCGGGGCTTAGCCCACAGTGGCGGCGGCACTACAGTGGCATTTTTTACTGCAACACCCCCCACACACACAGCACACAGTACACCCGCGACGGTTACAATGAAGGCTCGATAATCAGCTCACGGCATATAGGCAGGGGTAAAGTGGTATTTTTTATGAGTGGGGGGCGGACCTCACCTCCTCTAGGGGGTCCGGGGGGATGCTCCCCCGGGAAGATTTTTTTTTAAATATTGAAGTTAAAAGCATCAATCTGGTGCACTTTGAGAGCAAAATGAAGAGATCTATGGATACCTCTCTCAACACCCATATGAAGCAGAACTGTAAACAGATGTACTTTTTCTTTATGGATATTTTACTAATCACTCCCCTTTTAAACTCTATTCTTGTTTTACTGCCATATAGTATTTCATAACTGTTTTTCCTTTATTCTCTTATTTTTTTTATAACTATAATGATCATATGAAGGTGTGCCGCGGAAATAATCTTTTGAATAATTTGTGACCAAACCGTTTGAGACCCACTGAGATAACTTAGACTAAAGTTAAGTATCTAAACACTCAGAGAGTCCTTTAGCTCACCTGAGTCTCTCAGTCTGAGAGGAGAGGACTCTCCTCCAGCTTCTTGTGGAACAAACAGCTCCTTATGTCCGTTAGTGCAGCTAGCTAACCAGATGCTAACAACACGGTCCCTGCTGGCACCGGTCCCTCCCTCCCTCTCTCTCTCTCTCTCTATCACACTAAATGCGCTATTGCCACACACACACACAGCCGAGTTTGAATGACACAAGCACACGTTTATTTCCATGCAACTCTCCGATTGGTCTGGTGTCATGCCTCTGTTGCATTCACTGAACACGGGAAATTACAGTGCTGCCGTCCTCTCGTGTCATGATGAGGTTCACGTAAAGCACGGTTAATGTATTATATTATTGAGGGAGAATTGTCCGGGGCTACAGAAAAAACATTCGGGGCTAAAGCCCCGGATGCCCAGGCCAGGCGACGCCACTGGTCATGTCATGTCACGTAATGTCATGTCACGTAATGTCATGTCACGTAATGTCATGTCACGTAATGTCATGTCATGTCATGTCACGTAATGTAATGTCACGTCATGTAATGTCACGTAATGTAATGTAATGTCACGTC